TTGATCTGATGTTGTGTCCAGTAGGCTGGCTGCATCTCCTCTTTCTTTACATTCAGATGAAGTTCATCTGATTTTTAGTGCAGTATGTCCTACTGTTTGGTGAAATCAAATTCATATTGCTCACTTTGTGAATATCCTTGTGTTTGTACACTATGCCTCACCTCCAATCAACAAATCGTTGAATGCTCAGAAGTCTGCAGAAACTTCCCCACTCCCATTCATTTCATCGAGTGCCTCTCGACCCATGATCACTTCTCTTCCTGTGTTGTCGGCTCCCATTTTGGCGTGCATGTCACCCACCCATTAGAATGCATTTGATGTCACCAACTGGGGTGGGGTCTTATCCAGTACTGATTGCAGTCGTCTACAGAATTCCTCCTTCTTCTCTTCATCTGCCCCTGCATTATTTGTAGGTGCATAGTCTAGCCTAGCCTATGGTAGCCTAGCGTAGCATTGTACGATTGTGACTTTCCTCCCTTTCCAGTTGAATCTTGCTGTCATGATGTTGATCGTCGAGGAGATTGTACCTACTGGATGAGAGCCTCCGATACTCTTGAGGACATTATGATAACCACTCGAAAACTCAGTGTGCTCGTGTTTGTCGTCTGGGTGACAAATACAGGAGTAGGTTATTGACTCCTCTCGAGTTGACAGTTTGGAGAGTCCACTTCCATTCCATCTACTTTCGCAGATTCCAATCACTTCTATACCATACCTCCTCATCTCTTTTGCAATGTGTGCCGCCTTCCTCTGGTGCAGACATTCCATGTCCCCAATCTTACTTTCGCTTTCATCGAGAGAAGACACATCGGCCCATTGGCTTCCCAAAGCCTTTCATCAACTGGTGTCATTTCGTGTCTTCGATTCCAGCGAGGAATAAGTTTGTTTTTTTGAATTTTTATATTTTCTTTGTGATTTGAAGTTTATTTAGCGATTAGCTTGGTTTCATGGGGTATGGTTACAAGCCCTTCGTCCAATATTCCTTTATCCGGGGGCTTAGAACCAACTAGTAACTAACTAGCAAACTAGTTAACCAGACGAGGTTGTATCAATAGCTAAATATGGCTAATATCATACAATGACTCATGCCAATCTGTAGATTTCGGCAGTTACATCACAGGGATGTAAACACCGGACAGCCATTTCGCTGGTTTGGGGTGGAATCTGCTCATAGAATCAGTATACCATGAAAAAGGATGCTCAGTTCGAATATGATGAACAAATTGTCCACACTGCACATAGATACTTCACATATCTCATTAGCTTTTCAAGTGTCTAACTATGGTGTCAACAAGGTTCCAATTGAGTGGTGAAATCTAAAGAGTAGCCTGGGAGATTCATCACTACTCATGTTGTGCCCACCTTTAAAAGAAGTGTCTACATAATATATGTGACAATCATTGAGGTATTCGTTTGCTATCAGATGCGTAGAAATATTCGCTGCTATCATATTTCACAAGCCAGGTTTCTTTCAGGCTCTGGATGTATTGATCATGTGTTTACCCTCCACCAGATGCTTGAACATCGCCACATGTATTACAGGTCAGTAATGGCTATGATTCTTGACTTTAGGGCCACCTTCGATTCATTGGACAGAAGTGTACTCTGGAAGTGTCTGTTAAGTGATGGATGTGCCTGAGAAATTTCTTAACATCTTGAAAGTCCCCGCGGAGAGTGAGAGCTCACAACCACTAATCTCTATTGTTCCACACCAGCAGTGGGATTAGGCAGGGTTGTCCGATTTCACCATTCCTCTTCAACTTTGTCATGAATGACATTTGTTTAGACAGTTGTGAAGGAAGTGCATCATGGTGGTGTAGATCTACTATTCCGAGATCGGTTATTCGACCTTCAGTACGCAGACGATAGTGACTTACTGCGCGATAACACATTTGTTAGTGAAATCGCACTTAATCAATTGGAGATTAATGTCCGTATGTATTGTGTGTGTTGTGCATAATTGAAGTTGAAAATACTTTTGCAAGATTGACATGAACTTCTGTCCGCGATCACCTTAGGTGGTGAGCAGTTGGAAGTGGTCGAAAAGTTCTCCATGTATGAGTGCTGAATGACATGTGAGTGATGAAATTTCCAGCCACATATCGATAGCCAGAGTGACATACAACAATGTAGGCCACCTTCAGAGCCATCGCGACGTTAGTCTGATGCTGAAAGATTAGGTCTACAACGCTTGAGAAACCTGGCCTCTTCAAGCTGACGATGAGTGACAACTCTGTGTCTGATGATCGTTGTCTCTGTAGGATTTCTCGTATCCGGTGACAACACCATGTAAGTGAGTAATTGTGAGGAACGACAGCGCATGCTTGGACATGATGAAGGTCCTCACCGGCATCGGTGGCCTGGACATGTGTTACGCATATCGTTATCCCACTGGCTTCCACACTGTTCATTGTTTGTTAATCAACTATGTGGGACTGGATGGAAGAAGTGGATGAGTGGTCAGTGTATGACGTGGCGACGTGGTATGAAGGAAAATTGTATCAGATTAGGATCTGTGACTGGGTGGAGTCGGACAGATCAGGCAACTTAGTGGCTTAAGATATGGTTGAGAATGGAAATCAATGGTGGTTATGCTGTAACTTCCTGCTGTCGTCTCCTGTTGAAAAGTACTGAATGTTTCATTTTTAATGTACCTTAGTGAACTACCCTTCACTTCGTATCTTCATAATGTTGTTAGATTATTTTGTGTAGGGCATCTCTTCATCCCCTTACTATACCACGTTTGTATTCAGATGATAATACCAGTAATAGTGATAATGATAATACTCAAGTCGTTCTGTGGAAGTATCTTTGGCGAGTACATGACACTTTTGTGTCACACGTTGTATAGCTTGTGATCTCAGGTGAACGGGTTCCCAGCGGAAACCTTGTTGACATCGTAGGTGAAGAACTAATCACTTATGACAATAACGTCAATGTAGGCTGTGTAATCTTTATTTGAGTAGATGCCTGTATGTGTGTATGTGTGTGCTGGGAAATAACCTATGCACCACTATAATGACGGAATAAATGTAACTAAGAGGAATAAATACACAGAGGAAATAATTTGGAATACACAACTTATCTACATACTCTGAAAATGTCTCACGCATGTTTTACAAACTAATAAATCCCAAAGGATTTCTTCTCAATTGATATCATCTACCTCAGGCAATTTTCACAGCGCACATCAGCCAGTGAGGACAGGTGGTTCCCTGAAGTTAATTTTAGTATTCCTTAAATAAACAGCTATGCAACTGGAAGGCATCCATCCACATTGTGTGTACGAAATTCTACGCTGATTTCGTATATCCTGTCTGCTGTTCAGCATTTCTCTTGGTTCCCTATTCAACATCAATCGAAGCTATAAGAAACCCCTCTGGAGGTAATATATAATCTCTTAACTACTACAAGCCTATTAACAACTTAACTGAAAGGTGACATGAAGCGATTACAGAGTTTCGATGACAGATGTCTGCGTAACCTTATTCGTGTCTGATGGAATCACTAGGCAAGAAAGGCAAGTTGATTGATGAAGTTGTGAACCTTAGTCGACTGACTTGGCTTGGATGGATATAGGCATGGGACTGTGCATGCCAACCGATCGCCACCTACCTCGATATGTCATGCTAAGAGAAGAAGTCGGTGGGATGAAAACCTGCCACCAGTCGATGGTTTGAGTCATGTGGAGGAGATAGATGTAGACTGTCTGATTGATGTTATCAAGACGAAACATATCAGTGGTTGAGAACTAACTCTCGGTGACATGGCTGAACATCAATCGATCACAATGAAGTAGATGTATTTACTCCATGACGTCCTTCCTGTAAAGTTTGAAGATTCACATTAACCTCTATCTTTAAGCTGTTTATTCTCTCACGCTACTTCAATATCACTCCCTTTCTATTGACCAGTTCTTTGTGTACATCTGTGAAGTTTGGCAACTTGAAGTGATGCACCGGTGTGCAAGTTTCTACTTCGATTTTGTCAGTTAGTCATTAAACTCCAGGTTGAAAAGAAGAATAAGGAAGATGGAAAACAGTTGTGACTCCTGCAAAGTAAATATGATGACAGAAGAAGAAAGAAAAACCAGAAAGGGAGGTGGATTACGCCCAGTCTGTCACTGTTTCTATCTAACTAATGGACATTATCATGGGTACGTATGACTTCACAGGGATTAGTTAACTCTCTGTAGGATATCTAGTTGACTTAGGGTATGTAGACGATATTGTCCTACTTGATGAAGACGCTGAACACATTGAGTAAATGTAAGATGATGCTCCAGGATTGGTCTTCAGCGACTTCCAGTTTAATGATATGGAGTGTGACATGGTTTTGGAACATGTTGACCACTTCAGTTATTTCGGGAATTGCATTTTGTCAGCCTGATTAGAGAAGGGCCGATTGACATTTGCCAACTTGCATCATCTGTGATGTCATAGTGTGAGTGACATAAAGGTGAGGTGAAGGGTAACTAAACAGAGCAGGCAGATCGATTGACTAGGTTGTGAACCTTCAGCGATCGATATAGTAACGGCATGTACCTCGTATGGTGAGCGACCACCGCCAAGCTCAACGTGCAAAGCTATGAGTATTTGGATTATGTTGGAAGAGGATTCAGGGTGGCGAGTCCAAGATGTAACTCCAGTTGATGGAGTTTCTTACTGTTGGTTTGAGTCCCCTAGACGAAAAGAATCAGTAGTTGAGGAGTCTTAGTGACATAGTATACACCTTTGTCTACTTTAGTGTAGTGTGGAACGCTTCTTCTCTAGACATCATATTGTGCTAAAACAGTCTGTTGGATAAAAATTGCTACACTAATGATGAAGTTATGACAGTAGAAAAGTGTTCTCCTTTAGATGACTATCAGTGAGATGCTGATACTATCGTCTGGGTGGGAGGTGGTTTAGGGAGACACCCCCCCCCCAAATCACTACAATACTCTATCTATCCAATAGTCAATAAATATTTTAGAATATAATCAGGTTTATTGGACTTACTAAATTCCATGCATCTGTATGCTCTTTACGTAATTCACTTTCAGGATAACGTAAAGCAAATGTTAATTCTGATGAAATTATTGATTCTAAACGTTCACGTTCTTTAATTATAGAACCAAGATTTGATTTAAATTGAATGAAATCATGCTCTGTTACAGAGATAGGTTGATCAGATATTCGGATACCAGTGATAAAAGTATATGAATGTGTTCTATTAAAAAAAAAAGTGATAAGAAATAAAATAGGCAAAATGTAAAGGAACATTGAAAACTTGAAACCATTGGACAGGGCTCGAACCCAGGACTTTCAGATTACATGATCAGCATGTTACCATTCATCTAGCTATTGAGTCAGACGAATTCAATAGTCTATATTTCCTACATCTGTTAGTTCATGATAAAGCATAACATACATTCAATGTCATCGATGAGTAGTAACTGTCCTCATGTTCGACTACGCTGACTCTATTGGTCACGACTACTCATTGGAACTTTGGGAATCACTACTTGAACCGATTTAACAATGAGCGGAGTCATAGGTACACATTGCTAAGGAGTGCCATACTAGTGAGATGAAACAGCTATTCAGCGCTACCAAGTATCCAATGTTCCTCCAACGGATATTAGTTCATGATGATACTCGACATGACCACAGATCAAATCCAATGAAGAATGACACCATAATTAGATGATGTTTACAATATATTGTGATGGCAAGTATGTTTCAAAATTCACTGGAATCATTTCACTTGTCTGATTAATCAGTAATGATAGTCGAAACTTTTCGAAACGTAGACTATATAATAACGGCACCATCGTGATATTCAACTGCCTATTGAGAGTAGAGTATAGTGTGTAACAGTTCGATTTGTTCTACACTACCATTATATAAAGGCAGATGAGATGAGAAACCTTCTGATGTTTGACCATTGTTCCTTTGTATGATGACTTCCCCATATCAGTAACATAGATGTTTGGTGTAGAGTTTTAGCCGGAATAGGAAATTCATCTGATGAGAGAGTGTGAACACCAATAGCAAGTAAGGTGCCTGAGATGTCTGCGTTATGTGTACCTCCCACCTAGTTGACTTTGCTCCCGTCGCATAATGTTAACTAAGGCAAGTTTACGCTGGAGAAAAGTTCAAGCTAGTCAGATTGAAACATGCCATCAGTTCAGGAAATTCTTCACTTCTGATCTGAGCTGTGTGTAAGGAACAGAAACCAGTGGTTAGTGATTCTAGCTGATATACCTAAGAATCGACTTCATATCATACTGAATTTCATTCTTTTGTCATCCTTCCTTGCTCTCTTTTTTCTATAACTTTCTGCCTTCTTCTTTATTTATCCACCTTTTATCTCTAGATATGCTGATATGAGGTGTGACAACTTCGATCGCTACGCAGCAATCTTAGATCTAACGTTGAAATAGTATATCTCCTGTTAAATGATGCCTTGGACAAACATACTACTGTTAATGAATTAAGTAGGTGAATGAGAAGGAACGAAATAAAACAACATCAAAACGTTTATACACCATATTAAATTTTGAGGGGGTTGTGGAGGTTTGGAAATATTTCAAGTTGTTATTCATCGGAGACTGACATCACCGTAGTCGGATATTCTACAGAGAGAGAGAGAGATGATGATACATTATACAGTAATATCACTAAGGTTTCTATCATTGTTCATCGATAATAGAATATCGTGTGAGCAATATCCGCGTCAGTTGAAGGGTACCAGGTAAGACAAGCAAGTCGATCGAGGAGGTTATGGACCTTAGTCGATTGACATGGCTTGGACATGGACTGCTCATCCCGACCCATCGTCACCTACCTCGATGTGCAATAACTAAGAGAAATTGGATTAGGTAGGAAGACGGTTCAGAATGGTTATATCAATACGTGGTACCAGTCGATAAAGTCTCTTACTGTCTGTTGGCTTGAGCCATATGGAGATACATAAACTATCGAACTGCGGTCCCTGAGATGATAGGAAACAAAGGCTGACGGCTGACTAACTCTTGGTGAGATGGTTGAACATCAATTGGTCACAATGACGAAGATGTATTCACTCATTCTTTGACGTGTTTTAACGCTTGAATTTTTCCATTCACCTTTGTGTTATTCTATCGACTTCTCATCCGTGAAGTGTGCCAATTTGAACCGATGCACTTGTTCCCGAGGTTCGACGTTGATTTCATCTATCCGAAACGGAGTTGGTGAAAATTAAGGTCATACATCACTGCTAGTGATTTCGATGCTGTTGCGTTCTCTGAGCTAGGTGGGTGGTTACATTATGTAGCTTTCATTGTTACACAATGTTGCCCGAAGTAGGTTCAGCCTAGAAAAGGATTCCAAGCGATCAGACTATAACATGACATCAGTGCTTAAAGCCTTTAACTGTTGGTGTGAGCCATGTGAAAGGATTTAGACTAGCCGGTTGGGATCCGAAGGAGAAGATGAATCAGTGGTTGCAAACTGACTTCACGTGATAACATGGCTCACAACCAACGTCAATGGCGCAGATGTATCCCCCACACACATTCTCCTCATCTTAACGACACTATACTGAATCTCACCACTTTCTCATTCTTCCTTCCTCCCTCTTTTTGAGTACTTTCTATTTCTTTTCACTGAATCTTCTTCCTTTCTTCATCTTCCACTTCACTGTCTTGTTTACTTGATGTAGTGACATGCGGTGTGGCAAGTCGGACAGCTACGCAGTAATGCCTGATCCTATGTCGACTTAGATAGATGGATAGTAGCTTTAATTGCCGTTCTAGACAACATCATCAGTAGTAAAAACTTCAGGTCGCCAAATAACCTTAATGTTAAGCTTCTAGGAATTTCCTAGTTTTCTAGGTATTTTCTCTATCCATCAAAGATTTCAACATTCCCGAACCAGGGACCAAAACGGTTCTCGACCTGATGCTCTACCAATTACTCAGTTAGTCCAGAGATTGTATGAAGTCTCTGACTGTTGGTTTAAGCCATGTAGGACGATGCAGACAAGGTGGTTGGGGTCCACGGGACAAGAGGAACCAGTGGTTGGAGACCCTAGGTGATATGGCTCAGAACCGAAGTCATTGGCGCAGATGTATACACACATTATCCTCATCTTAACTACACTATACCGAATCTCACTATTTTGTCACTTCTCTTTCCTTTCTTCTCGTACTTTATATTTCTTTTGACTGCATTCACTTATCTTCATCCTTCACCTCACTACCTTTTTACTTGATGTGCTGATATGAGGTGTTGCAACTCGGACCGTCACGCAGTAATGCCTGGTCCTATGTTGATAATGATGATGATGATGAGTCCAGAGATTCTAAAAGCCCTCAATAACCAATCTAGTCGTGATTTCAGAGATGTTCTTCATGTGTATGAAAGGATAATCTATTTACTGGTTTTTGAAGTTTACTTCTTTGATGATGACGAATTATGTAAACATGAAGTTGCATGGATAGCTATTATTCTCGAGTTTTAGAGAGAGAAACACTAGAAAGATTCAGTACACCTATGACCTGTCGAGAGATATGCCCGAAGTTCCAATGAAAAGTCGTTACCAGTGGGGTCAAAGCCTGATGGTCGTAAGGACAGTTACTCAACGATGACATTGGGTGGCAGTTGTGCTATATCGTGAGCTAACAGAAGTAGGAAATATGGAACATTGGGCTCTGACCCAGTGGCCGAATGGTAACGTGCTGGCTACGGAACCTGAAGGTGGCGGATTCAATCGCTGGTGGTACGGGGTCGTGGGTGCGCACTGTTGAGGGGTCCTATACCAGGACGAAACAGCTGTTCAGTGCTCCCAGATTTCCTTTATTTCTCTCCAACAATAACAAGTTGAGTTTTTAAAAAAATGATAGAATGTTTCAAACATGTATCTGGTCAAAGATGAAAGTGAATCGATCGATGTATACATGGAATAAAATGATGTTCTACAATACAAGAAATAGTCTCAATAGTTCAGATGAAATCCATTGAACAATAAGATTTGATATCTAGCCATAGTAAAGTTTGTATATACTACCCTTTAAATACCATCACAGTTGATGTTGGAAGCAATTGTCAATTTTGAACGGTTCGATTGAATAAGATTTCCAAAAGAGTCAAATGTTGATAAAGCTGGAGACTATTTTTGTATCCACAAAACTGAAGGTAATGTTCATGAGAACATTTTTTTTAAGTGAGCGCATACTACAGTTAAATGTATCCAACTCCACAAAATAATGTATAAGTATATTGATAAGGTCTAGTGTGCATCAATTTGTCGTCTGTGCACCAATGAATCAGCTGTTGACACGTAGGTTTTCAGCGTACAATGTTCCAACTTAATGGGGGATTAGACTAATGTTGATGAAGCATAACCATAGCAACATCACCTTTGAATGTGTTCCACAGACTTAATTTTTTTTCTTTCATACTTTCCCACTATAAAATCTAGATGAATACCCAATGTATAATACTAATTTTCAGAAGGTTTCCCGATTCATCAATAAGTTTATTATCATTGTACACCTTTCTTATCCTTGATAATACTAGGTGTACAAGATTCTCCCTCTTCCTATCTAACGCTGAGCTAATAAAACGTCAAGTTTCATTCGCCTTCCAGAGCTGGTCGCTGACATTCTCTCAAGGAGGCATATCAAGTTCATGTTGTCATTACAAACAATGAAGGTGTCGTATATGTGTGCATATATCGAACCAAACCATAAAAAATGCGGTCATTCAAAAGACAGGCGTCTAGGTATCTGGAATGGTAGGACCTTGAGGGAACAAGCGTTTTATGAGCATAGCTCGTTGGGTAACTGTGGTCTGCAAGCCCGATCATCACGTCAAGGTAACAGCTATCGGGCGGGATTTCTACTGCATGGTTGTGAAACATGAGAAGGCGGCTTCAGGTGTTTGACCACAGTTGCCTTCGTAGTATAGGCTGCATTCCGTGGTGTCACCATGTGAGTAACGCAGACGTCAGATGTAGAGGTTTAGGAAGGAGAGATAGCCATGTGTTACGTATGCCTAGCCGCCGTCTCCCTCGTCACACAATGTTGGTCGAAGTAGGTTCAGGCTGGAAAAGGCCTCGAAGCGGCCAGACTATAACATGGCATCAATGCATGAAGTCCTTGACTATTGGTTTGAACCATGTAGGGCAATGCGGACTGACTAGTTGGGGTCCGCGGGACAAGAGAAACAGTCAGTGGTTCAGATGTATACACACATTATCCTCATTTTAACCGCTATACGAAATCTCATCATTTTCTCTTTCCTTCTTCACCTTTCATTTTATTATCTTGTTACTTGATGTGCTAATATGAGGTGCCACTGGCAACTTGAACCCTTACTAAGTAATGCCTGGACCGGTGACCTAAATTTTCTCTCTAGTTACGTGTTAATTTCACCAGTCAGTATCAGGAACACAAGTTCACGAAAAAATTGGCTTCCTCAGATAAACTTCATGACAAAGACTCAAAAGGAGTTGAATATCAGTTTGATTGAAATGGAGGCGTAGTTTACCAGGTCCGCATTGATACTAGATGATGAGTGAAGGTCTGGGCTTCAAGTGGGATTCGAACAAGCGACCTCTAGGGTTACAGACCCCTTGTGCTCCACTCGCTTGATCATATTCACTCTGGCTTTGTCCATCCAGTCAGAACTTCACCTCTTAAAAAATTGAGTAGGTTATGACAATTAAATTAAGCAAAGAGAAATGGAACAACTTACGATCCCGACGGGACAGTCAGCTTATCCGGAAAGACTGGCTCGTAGACAACAACTACAAGTACTTGATTGACAATAGAATAATGACCATTAGTTTTCAAGTCATCTGGAGGTGGTAAACGTATCAAACCACAGGCAATTTGATAAGTCACTTCTTCAGAGGCATGATTTTTCACTTCACTTTTCTGTTGTAATCTGAAGGAAAAAAACATTTTTTTTTCTTTTTTAGAAAAAAAATATATAATATCATAAAACTATTCTCGAATAGAAATTGCTTAATTCCTTCTTGTGATGTCAAAAACAAGATATTCAGAGAAGAGGAGAGAACTCTTCACAAAGGGATTTTCTTCTCAAGTTGTACACATATATGATAATTTAAAGGCAACAATAGTGATAATAATAATAATAATGTTGGTAGTTGATGACGTAAAGGTTGAATGATAACAAAAAAGGCGTCACGTAAGAGTGTGTGTTTCAGAAGAATATCCATTGTCTCCCTGGCTAGATTTCAGTCAATTGAAGCGAAGAGTGAAGTCATATTAAAGAGACAGTTTAAGCTTCCTGTCAGCGATCCATCTCTTCCTGTCTTTATGTGTCAGTGGTATTGTTGTTGTTGTTGTTGTTGTTGTGGTGGTGGTGGTGATGGTACTGGTTGACGTTCTGATCCCCAGTTAAAGTAGAATGATTTCGCATGTGAGGTTTATGCTGCATGTAGACTGCTACGTCGAGTCTACCGATCACAGTAGTAGTTCAAAGTAGTCTTGTTACTAGTTGACTAAGAACTTGCAATATAGTTTGAATGATGATTGAAGGTAAAGTGAAAATCTGAACCGTGATCGCATTCGAACCAGTGACTATCGCGGTTTGCGGCCCTGTGCTCTAACAAATGAGTTATGATACCCAACTGCTGACCAGATTTCAATTTCACTTCAATCACAAACGGGCTTTTACGCGACTACCATGTGAATTGGTGATGCGTTACTACTGTTAGATTGTATTACCATTGGCTGCCCGGCGGTCGCTGGTTCGAATCCCACCGTGGCTAAAATTCTCATTTCACCTTTAATCATCACCAAACTACACCATTTCACTCAGATAGTCATAATAATAATAATCAAATGAAGCTCCGCTTCTCATTTTAATTCAGTTAGATTTGGATGAGAAGTTCTAGCTGTGGGCAGCCAGTGGTGAGAACGATCAAGTGATGGAGCCTTGTAGCTCAGTTGATAAAGCATTGGATAGTCATCATCTCATCATCAATATCAACATAGGACCCAGACATTACTGTATAGCTGTCCGACTTGCCACACCGCATATCACTACATCAAGTAAACAAGATAGTGAAGTGGAAGATGAAGAAAGGAAGAAGATTCAGTGAAAAGAAATAGAAAGTACTCAAAAAGAGGGAGGAAGGAAGAATGAGAAAGTGGTGAGATTCAGTATAGTGTCATTAAGATGAGGAGAATGTGTGTGGGGGATACATCTGTGCCACTAACATTGGTTGTGAGCCATGTTATCACGTGAAGTCAGTTTGCAACCACTGATTCATCTTGTCCTGCAGATCCCAACCTTTTAGTCTGCATTGCCTCACATGGCTCAAACCAACAGCATCGGGTCGGAAATCGAGTGGTCGCTGGTTCGAATACGTCCGTAGTCCAAATATTTATTTCATCTTCAATTATTACCCCGTATAAATACTAGTCTGTCAAACCATAGTTGCTATCTTAGATAGGCAAAATGATAATTATCAAATAGGCACTAAATGTGATAAAGAATTTGTCTGAATTCATGAATAAAATCATTCCATCATCTTACATTGAAGAAGACAAAATAATCACGAGTTTTGCTATTTACTGATTATTTATGAACATACTTATTATTGCAGGTGCATTAGACAACATTCACAACCTCAGTAACAGCCAACTTCTTCATTCAGTCACTGGACATTAATGCAACAGCGAAATGATAGAAAAGGTTTGTACGTCAGGATGAGGATAATGGTGGTTTCGTGTTCTGTGAGGTTTCTCGTAGATGTTTCATCCCCAGGCTTAGAGACATCTTCAGCAACACTAACTTCTCACAAACAAGTGAAACATATTTAAATGTTACACGAATGTTTAGATTATTATTATTATTTGTCCCTTGGGTTCCTAGTGGAAAATAGGGTTTCAGTAGCATGTCTCCATTCTACTTTGTTTTCTGCAACCTTTTGAACCTGACTCCACCACTGCCTAGAAGCTCTCATTTCTTCCTCACACGATCTCCTCCATGTCACCCTCGTCTTGGATGCCCTACTCATCGTTCCCCTTTTGGATTCCACTCGACGGCGTGGCCTTGTGCGTGATGTCCCCGAATGCTCTTCCCAGTGCATGCCCAATTCATCTCCACTCCTTCCTCTGCATATTTGTTCAGCGATAGGTTCTTGGTTGGTTGGTTCGTTGCCAGCCAGTCAGAGTTCCTTGTTACTTATTCTTTGTGGCCATCTGATCTTCAGTAACTAGTTAGCATAGGCGATTGTTGATGGACGGATGTAGTTTGTTGGAAATGCTTTCCGTAACGCGCCAAGTCTCTCAACCATCACATAATAGCACTGACTTGACTGAAATGGTGTTGAAAATCCGGATCTTGTTCCATATGCTGAGTTCAGAAGATCTCCACACTGTCTTGCTTTTCCGATCCTGGCTTTGACGTCCTCGTCTGTGCCGTTGCCTGTAGTTGAAATGATGCTGCCTAGATAAGTGAAAGAGGCTACTTCCTTTACGTTTCTCCCATTCATGGCGATTGGAGCTTCTTGTTGTTGGTGGTGGTTGCGTTGGTTAGGTATCATCACCTTCCGTATCGAGAGAACGTAGAAGGCAGTTTTTCGTGTATGTCTGAAGTTTGTTAGAAATGCTTCTCGTAACGCGTCAAGTCTCTCAACCATCATTAAATTGACTGAATTAGTGTTGTAAATCAGGATCTTGTTCACGCTTTATTCTGAGTGCAGTAGATCTACACACTGATTTCAGATTTATGAACGCCTGCTTTTCCTTGACCTTTTCAATCCTGGGTTTGACGTCCTCACCTGTGCCACCTGTAGTTGAAACGATGCTGTCTAGGTAGGTAGATAGGTGAAATAGACCATTTTCTCTAGATTTCTCGGGTTCATAGCGATTAGTGCTTGTTGTTGTTCGTTGAGTATCTTTATCACCTCTGTCTTCTCTACGTTCACCTGAAGGAAGTGCCGTCTTCCTTTCCCTACCTCTTTTGCCAACGTGTTAGTTTTCGCCTGTAGATCTTCGAGTTTGTGCGAAAACACATCATACATAAATCATCACCGCTGGCGAAATCCAAATCTTTTAGAAACTTTTCATCGGTTAAACAGCCTATGCCCATCTTCTCATAGCGCATCACGTTTTGTTGTATGATCCAGTCCCACCACAATAATGAAGATCATCGGTGATAGTAGGCAGCAACCTTGTCTTACTCCTGTCTTCACTTCAAAATGCTAGCAGGATAATGCAGAACGCGTGTTTCTTTCTGTCGTAGTTGAAAGCATCAGTGAATAATAAATGAAACTCGTTGGCTCAAAAAGCCTAGTAGGGTAAGGTGACCTGGCGCCTGAAGCAATGGGTACTGTGTTTCAATCACAGTGGGAACACTGTCACTCCTTCAGATTAAAGGCTAACCATCTGACAAGTTCAAGTGGGACGAAATCAATGTTCTGGTTTTACGGTTTGTGCTTTATTATGACGATATATTTCCTCGACGATATACAATTAACAATAGAACAATGACTTCTCAACAACACGATGTTCAGCTGACATCAGAAGAAGAAGGACAACAGGATTGGAAGTATATTTACCTCAAACGAATAGTGGATCTTACAGCTTATATACTTTCAGATGACCTTGGCCGGGGAAAACAAAATAGCATGTTAAAAGTTTAAAATGCACCAATCAGCGTTTAGTTTCCTAAACCACGGTAAAAATAAGTAAGATTGTATAGAGTGAAGAACGCGATAAAATCGACTATATATTTTACTACAGTGATAATATATACATAAGTTATTCCTAGGGATCAGGCATCGCTAACACCTGAGCAGAATGAATCATTCGAGTGCACAGTTGTCATTCATCAAGTGGAATATGATCATCTCAACGCGTTAAGGCAACAGTTCGAGCCCACTCCAAACCTAAACAACAGGCTAACATACCAAGACCACCAGCCTTATAAAAGGCATGTGTATCATAACCATAGAAGGTATGTGGATTAGAAGTGAATACACCAGTGAATTTTAAAAAAAAATGCGTCGATTCACTGAATCCTCATCAAAATATTTACCGGAAGAACAACATACTACTCACAAATGTTTTAAGTAGTCAAAAACTGAATGAAAAGAAAACTTAGCTCACCTAATATGGCGAAGCGATACAAGTTCTGTCCAATTCTTTAAATCACCCTTGTCAATTTTTACTGTATTATCCCAATCCTGCAAAGCAAACAAGTGAAGTATTTATTATATTCATGAATAGATTATTTAGTTGGTATGCTTGATATTTTCTTTGTTATTCCAGTTGTAAACAGCTGAGGAGAATTTGTAAAGCATGACTATACACATACACCTTTATTGGTTTCGCTTTTATTGTAGATAGTTGAGGGGGGGGGGGAACTTGTTCAACAATATTAACATACACTTGTAATTGACATGAGTACTTGTGAATCCCTGATACTGCCTCAAGTGGTCTGAACTAATTCGAATAACACAGTTAACAGATTCGATTACAAACAGATGATGCTTAATCATCTCGATGTAGCCAGTAGGTAGCACGAAGTTGATGTCTGACTAGGGTCGTTGAGAAAATAGAAACCAGTGGTTGAAGACTCTAGGTGATATGGTTGAAAATCAGTCTGAATGGTGTAGATGCATCCACGTCTCTTTTAAAGTGGAAATACCCCCCCCCCCCCCCCCCAGTAACCATGATTATCAAATTGTTTATTCTTGCATACGATTTTGCCTACTTCGTTATTACTCTCTTTTTAATCTACCTGTTCTTTGAGCCGATGTATCAGTGTGCCAGATTCTATGCTGATTTTATGATTATCATTATTATTTTTCCCATGGGTTCCTATTGGAACATAGGGCTTCAGTAGCACATCTCCACTGCACTCTACAATCTGCAGTCTTTTCAATCTGGCTCCATGACAGCCCACAAATTCTCATTTCTTCCTCACAACATCTCCTCCATGTCACCTTCAGATGGGACACCCAACTCATCGTTTCCCATCCCCGTTCCACTCCACGACTTCGCCTGACACGTCATGTCCCCAAATGGTCTTCTCAGTGTATGCCCAATCCATCTCCACTTCCTTCTGTTGGCTGATAGGTTCTTGGCTGGTTCCTTGCCAGCCAGCCACAGTTCCTCCTTGCTTATTCTTATTATTCTGGCCATCTCATCGATCTTCAGTATCGAGCCAGCGTAGGCAGTAGTTGTTCATGAATGTGTGTAGTTTGTTGGAAATGCTTTTCGTGACACGCCAACTGTCTCAACCACTACATAGAAGCACTGACTTCACTGAATTGGTGTTGAAAATCCGTATCTTGTTCACGCTTTATGCTGATTGCAGTAGATCTCCATACTGTTTTCACATTAATGAAAGCCTGTCTTGCTTTTCCGATCCTGGCTGGCTTTGACATCCTTGTCTCTGCCTGTGCCGCCTGTAGTTGAAACGATGCTCTGCCTAGGTAGGTGGGTAGGTGGAAGAGACTACTTTCTTCAGGTTTCTCCCGTTAATGGTGATTGGTGCCTCTCGTTGTCCATGCTGTTGTTCGTTGGGTATCTTCAGCTTCGCTGCCCTGCCTCTTCTGTCAACTTGTTAGTTTTCCCCTGCACATCTTCGAGTTTGCGCGACAAGACATAAGACATAAATCATCATCGTTGGCGAAATTGAAATCTCCTTGGCTCTTTTCATCGATCCAGCTTATGCCCATCTTCTCACAGCTCCTTACGGTTTGCTGCATCATCTAGTCGACCATAGTCAGGAAGATCATCGGTGATAGTAGGCAACTTTGTCTTGTCTTACTGCTGTCTTCACTTCACTTCAAAGGTGTCACTGAGCTTTCCATTGTGGATCACTTGGTATGTGGCGTCGTCATACAGCTGTTGAATGAGGTTGACAAAGATTTGTGGGACTAAAACCGTAGTGTTGAAGCAACCCAGCGAAGCTATGAACTATGCATATTGCATAGTGGCGATATTCGTAACTGACAACTGACAAAATCTTTGTAGTACTTCGCACACAAGTGAATCGGTTCAACTTGCCACAATTCACAGAAGTATACAAACAAGTGGATAGAAAAGGAGTGATATCGAAGTAGACAGAGTTACATGAATAATCAACAAGCTGAAAATAAAGGTTATTGCGAATTTTGAACCTTTAGGTATCAAAGAATGAATACATCTACGCCATTGTGACTAATTGATGTTCAGCTATGTCACTAATAGTCACTTCTCAACCACTGATTCCTATCGTTTCGAGGAGCCCCAACTAGGCAGTCTACATTAGCCCTCATAGCTCAAGCGAACAGTTAGAGATTTCATCGACCACCACGCTGAAACCTCTTTCAACCTAATCCGATTTCCCCTAATATGTCACATAGAGATAGGCAGTAATTCAGCATGTACAGCATATGCCCAAGCCATCTCAGTCGATGAAGATTCATAGACTCATCAATCAACTTTCTGGTATGTCCCGCTTAGTACCTTTTGCCTGACCTTAACATTGCTCACACATTGATTCCACCAAACGCGAGCAATGCTACAAAGACACATATGGTCAAAACCCTGTAATTGCTTCACATAGTCTACTTTTAACGGTCATATGTCACGGCCGAACAACAGGACAGAATGGACTACAGTACAGTATACTCATCCTTTAAGAAATTGCTGGATATCTTGCTGACGCCACAGGTGACGTAAATTAGCAAATGCCAAATGGGCCTTCAGTATCGATTTTGTCAGCAATCATCCAGTTCGGAGGGTTGATTCAACTCTCCAAGTGAGTGAAGTGGTCAACACATTCTACCACTTCACTCCCTATAATTAAGCTGGGAGTCAATGCACACAAGTCCTGAAGCATCATCTTAATTTGACAGGTGCTAGAGGAACGCATACCAGGCATACTCATATTTCTGCTGAACGCGTTCAGAAGGCCCTTCTAAGACAATATCAACTAGGTGACCTGCAGGGAATAGGTCTACCCCTGTGAAGTCACATATACATAGGGTAAGTAAGTCTATGACGAAGTTGGATAGGAATGGTGACAGTGGACATCCCTAACGAAGACTACTAGTTATTGTCAACTCACTATAAGCCCTGACATGAGTTCGAGTAAAGAGCTTTGATTAGCATCATATACTTGCTCGGTACTCCCATCACAGATAGACACTGCCAGAACACCTCATGGTCGACAGAGTTAAATGCCGCCTTGAAGTCAATGAATATGGCAAGTGTCGGCCGCTGCGATGCTGATACCGGTATCAACAGTCTACTGATGGAATTCACCGTGTGCATTACCATCTTCCTGGCAAATCTAGTCATACATACATAGACATACAAGCTTAACTCCTTATCATTTCATTCAACATCTTCAATACAACTTGAACAAATCACCTCTCGTCAATTGAACAATTCTATACAATCCACGTTTATATTTATAGAATACTAGTACACAATTGAACTAGACACTTACCATAGGGTTGTAAACACGGAATGTTTGAATGATGAGACTTGAATATCGACGATGAGCATATACCATTGTACCTGACGAAACACATAGTTCATTCTGAAATAAACAACACCAACAAAAATTTTGTCAAACTGGTGAAAATATCACAATATTGATGTGATGACAGCATTTCCCATAAGTGTAGAGCTGTGGCTCACTACTTTAGGGAGATGACTTCAATTCAAACAGTCATGGATTCAAGCTCTGCTTCAACAAACTGAGGTTTAGGCAGCAAGAAAGTGTCAGTATCCCTCATATACAGTACGTATAACTCATTACCGACTACATGAATATGTACAAGGTTGTCGAGTGGATTTCGCTTTATTTCTCATAAGCAGAACAAACGTTAAATACAGGAAAAAGGGAAAATAAATGAAAATTGATATGACATTGTTCTTTCTGCTTGTAAGTCAATTTGATGAAGTTGCATAGTGTAATGAGAAGACGGATATTATCTGAACAATATGTGATGATATTCATCTGATGATACATTTACTTGAATAAATTAAGATAATACAAGATTTTAAAAGTATCGGGATAGTACCTTAACTTTCATACTTACTGTTCAATATAGTACAAACAAGGTTTAGTAAAATGCTTATTCAAAAGAACTCAACGTATTTAAGCAGCAATTACATTCGAAGAAGAAACCAAACTTTTAATAAGGATACTCATGGGAAACCCATTTCCCTGTGACATTCACCAATCGTTATAAAAACGTCTCAAAAGTATGAACTAATCAGTATTCTGTCTTGAAGAAGGACGTTTGCTACACCACACTACTGTATAACGGGGGAATCAAATAGCATGATCTTAAGACGAAAGCTTAATTCAGTTATTAAAAACACATACTATGCAGCCAAGCTTGATATTATAGAGAAAATGAAATTTATGCTTCAAAATAAACCTCATCACTACATAGATGATTAAGTTACATCTCGGTGTGTATATCAGTTTACATTAAGATCAGTAATCGATAAATACAGAGAGGGGGGGCAGATAGACGTCATCGTCGATAGGTTAACACATTGTAGAAACAGGTCATAGGATTCGCTCCAAAACAGAGCTTACACCATTGTAAGGGAACCATCAAAACGGTATCATCATCATCCAGATCAACCTACCACCAGGCATTACTGCGTAACGGTTCGAGTTGCCACACCTCATATCAGTACATCAAGTAAAAAGGCAGTGAGGTGCGAGATGAAGATAAGAGAATGCAGTCAGAAGAAATATAAAGTACGAAAAGAGAGAAAGGAAGAATGAGAAAATAATGAGATTTGGTATGGCATCGTTAAAATGAGGATAATGTGTGTGCAGATACAGCTGCGCCACTGACATCCGTTCTCAGCCATATCACCTACAGTCTACAACCACTGGTTCCTCTTGTCCCATGGACCCCAACCTTCTAGTCTGCATCGCCCCACATGGCTCAAACCAACAGTCAGAGACTCCATACATTGGTGTCATGTTTTAGACTGGCCACCTGCGGCCTTTTCCCAGCCTGAAACTACTTCGGCCAAGATTGCGTAACGAGGCGGCTAGGCATACGTAACACGTGTCCCAACCAGCCATCTCAGTAGATCAAGATTCACAACCTTGTCAACCGATTTACCTCTTCTCCCTAAAACTCCTCACTTCTGCATTAATCACGTGGTGACACCATGGAATACAGCCTACACTACGAAGGTAAGGGTGGTCAAACACCTCACGTCTTCCACTTTGAATGGCCATGTTTCACAGTCACACAGTAGAACAGACCGGACCGCTGTGCAGTATACGCCACCCTTAGTAGACAGTCGGATATCACGGCGGCGCCATACGTGGCTTAAGTTGGCGAAAGACAGCTCAGCCTTTTGTATCCATGCAGAGATTTCACCGGCAACTGAGCCATAGGGCAGTGCTGATCCTACTTCCCAGGTAAGTGGAATGGTCGACACACCCAACCATTACACTCTCTATTGTTAGCCGAGGCACCGTTGAAGACCAATCCTGAAGCAGCAATTTGCATTCGGGTGGTGAGGAACGCATCCCAAACATTCTCAAATTGCCACTCAGTGTGCAGAAGACTCTGCATCTTTAACTAACACGACTATGTCATCTGCATATCAAGACCGTATACTCAGGCTCACTGATGCCCTAGCTATACGAAAGCTCAAACCCTTTTGTGCATTCAAAAACTTGTTCTTACCTTAAACCTACCTTGGTAATCTTCACCTTGTTCTTAAAGACAAGGGAGGTATGAAAATGCATTATTCCTCCTCCCATCATTCATATAAAACGTCTAAACAAGTAAATACGTCATCAGATCGTTCGAAATAGATTGCACGAATACACCGCACATTTCTCAGATAACGTCCGTTTTCTAATCATAATATGTAAGCAATGTCCACATCAGCAACAGTGTGACTGAACTCTAATACAAGCGATTTCCGACCAACGTTTCTTAAGATATCAAAGATCACAACATGGCAGCCTGGCAATTTACATTAAAAAACCAGTACCATCATTGATTAGTACTAACTTTTGCACTGACTATAAACTACGCTTTGCCAGCTTCGGTTGACATTAAGTACTGTGAATAACGGTACTTATCTGGTATACATACCAAATATGTTATCCACATTAACACCTCGTAAAGCAGTTGACCTGGCTCATGGCTACAGCATTGTCGCTTTCGGTGTATCATGCTTCGTTGGTGGTTAACACTGACCCACATAACGAAACGGAGGTCAATAAGGAACTCCAAGTTTTGAAACGTTACAATGCACCTGGCCCAGACAACTTACCACCGACTCTTTTTAAAAAGGACAGAACAACTCTAGTCAAGGAACTGACTAGACTATTTGGGAAGGTAAAGCAGACTGAGAGTGTTTCATCTCTCTGGAGTGAATCCATTGTTGTGCCCATCTTAAAAATAGGTCTACAAAATATGTGTGACATTCATTGGAGTATTAGTCTGTTACCAGACGCGTAGAAAACATTGGCTGCTTTCATACTTCATAGGCCGGAATTCCTTCAGATCATGGATGCATTGATCATATGTTTATCCTCCACCGGATGCTTGAACATCGTCACACGTACTGCATGACAATAATTGTTGTGTTTCTTGACATTAAAGCTGCCTTCGATTCGTTGGACAGAACTGCACTCTAAAATTGTCTGTTGGATAGGGGTGTGCCTGAGAAATTTCTTGAAATTCCTATGTAATATATCACCTTAGGTAGAGTGAGGGCATACAACAGCCTATCTCCATTGTTCCAACCCAGCGGTGCGGTTAGGTAGCGTCGCCCGATTTCTCCATTCCTACTCAACTTTGTCATCGATGACATTTTTCAAACAGCTCTAAACGAAGCGCGTCATGGTGGTGTAGACCTACTACCAGGAGAACGGCTAGCCAACGTTGAATATGCGGACAATATCCTCTTATCGTGCGATAACACACAGGCTACTCAAGTCGCACTTAATCAGTCGGTGATTACTGCCTACATGTACGGTGTGTGCTTTGCACCATTGAAGTGCGAAGCACCTTTGCAAGACTGACAGAAGCTTGTGCCAGCACTCACCCTCCGTAATGAGCCATTGGAAGTTCGTACATCTGTGTAGTGATGGGAGTGGTGAAATTTCCAAGCGCATATCGAAAGCCAAAGTGGCATACGACATGATAGATATGCTGCACATTCATTTACACCCAGTTGCAGATGAAAAGTTCAACAAACGAAAGGTTACCCTAAATAACGCGAACACCTTAATTCTTATGCTGACTGTAGACATATATCACCCTCACCTTGAAATGGGACAACTCACCATTCAGAACATGTATCAACTTCAGTTCTTATAGGTGTGGAGACATGGCTCACTGCTTCACGGAGATGACTTCCAATCAATAAGTCACGGGTTTCAGCCCTGCTTCACTTACTGAGGTTTGGGCAGCAAAGAAGTGTCAACATCCGTCACACACGTAACGTGTGACTCATTATCGATTGCACCAATATACTCAAGGTTGTCGAGTGGACTTTGCTTCATTTCTCATAAGCTGCACAAGCGTTAAGTATAGGAAAAAGGGAAAATTAATGGAAACTCGTACGCCACTCACCATTCTGCTTGTAAGCAGTGTGTACATCAGCAGCAATGTCACTGAACTCTAGTTCCTTCCAAACCGATATTACTTGCAATATCAACAATCTAAACGACGTAGCCTGACAATTTAGACTGAAAACCAGCAACATCATGGATTAGAGTTACCTCTTGCACTGACCAACTGCACTCTACCAACTTCGGCTGACGTTACACACTGTGGATAACAGTACCTCTCTCTGTATACACACCAAAGGTGGTAGCCACAACAGTCGGAGAAGGTTAACAACGTCATGCATTGACTTGCCCTCTGCTCTGACACACTGGTAACAACCAATTAGCAAAATGTATGACCACATATTTGCAGTCACTCAATTCAATTCAACTGTCTGACCACATGCAACATTGTCTTGCTATTACGATAACACAACGGACTGATACACCCAAGATATGGGGAAAATGGAAACGACAGTTAACCAGAGATTTATTCGAATAGAAAAGAGGACTATTCATTTACCATAACACACACATAACTAAAATATGAACCCGGTCCATCCCGAAAGTAACACTGATCTGGCTAGCTTGCCTCTTATCAACCTCATTCTCACAAATTCTGTTGCAATCCACCAGTCCTCATTCTTCGATTCCATCACATAAGAGTAATGCTAGGGAGAAACAAGGTCAGAAACCTATCCTCCTCATATGCACTGCGTATTCACTGGTCATGTCGGCTGTAACGTAGTTTTCCCATGCAAGAAACATTTAATAGAAAGCTAACTATATTGGTTTTCTTGACAAAGATGGTTGACTCAAACTCTCATATCTTTCGGTTACAATATTTGTTTGTTAGTGTACATTCAACGAAATTCGCATCTCAGAGTTGAATCGAAATGAACTCGGCAGCCACTTGTCTGCAGTGGCCGGTGAGCTACACCTAACCTTCAAAAACTTCGATAAGGACAGTGGGCTTCGAACACACCACCTAAATGTTGGGAAGTGGACGCTTAGATCGGTTAGCTACAGCTACATACTAAGACTCGACAAACAACACAGTTCAACAATACAGTATTTCACAAAGACCAGATTACATTCTGGCTAGACTAATACTCTAGCAAACACTCTCAAAGCAACAAACCAACGAGTAGTGAAACGAGTTCACTGCCATCTACAAACAGATACATGGGGCATTTTACAGCCCACTAAATTGTCCTCATACATTACCGAAAACCTTCCATCGAAATGTATGGCTTTTTGGGTCATCTCAGTCACACAGAGTTTTCCACATTATGCAACTAAACTCCTTCTCCAACATTTTACCGACGCAGTCACCAAAGCACTATCACCTTCTAAAAGTCAAATCGAAGGTGAAAGCTGAAACGAACTAAAAATTATGAGCTTAAAGAGAAATTAGTATTGTCAAGATAGCTATACTCAACTAGCATGGAACCTGTCTCAGTTACAAACTCCTCCTGTTGAACCACTTGATTATTACGAGGCTGACAAAATCAACGAAGCAGCTTACACTCAGGTGCATTGATCCAGACTGTCAGACTTTACAGTATTACGCACAGAACAAAAGAGTAGAGTGATATCAAAGTGGAGGTAGGTGGAGTAAATAGGTGAGAAATGCAATTCAGGAAAAGTTCCAAAGATACCAAACAGTGAAAAATTCTCCACAATTATGAACAACATTTAGTCAAGTCAAAAAGTCCCCAACTACTGATTATCATTATATCGACAACCATACAGTCGAAACCTTACCCACATTATAACAAACTTGAGTACCACCTGACTAAGATGGGAAATCGTTCGCTTCTTGAATCGCACTGTTTCCACAATACTTCTAAACATTATAAATCCCTTGATCACTGAACATAGTAAATGATGATCATATCTCTTAGCAACTCAATATTTTGGCATGAAGCCACAAACCTACTGTTAACAGATAGTCAAACAACACAACATAGAACCAGGCAAAGACATCAATTAGATCAAAACACCAAACTTCACATCAACATGTGGAGAGAAAAACAACAACATCAGAGTAGATAAGGAAATGACAGTGAATTCATAGATAAAACTGAATTAAATTATTCACGACTTCACAGATGACAACCACTGTAAACAAATCCACCACACAGACTCATCTCGATCCAAAGCATAACGCCTCACAGACTCTAGCTAGGCAGCATCCATCTCATCATATACCTCTCATTAACAGTCATATATCTCACAGAGCGCAGCTACATCTCGATATGACCTCATCACTTGGCTTGTCTACAAAACAAATCTATTTCCGATAACATCTAGCATAGCATAGAAGACAGCTGGTAAGCAAGTGCAACACACGTCCATGACATGTACGCCGTTTACCGTTATCGATTGATTGACTTTTCTCCACTACCCAACGCACACAGTCAATGTTACAAACAAATTGATTTCAACATACAACAGAAATGCTACTACTACTACTACTACAACCATGATCAAAAACGCGTGACATCATCACGTACACAGTGCAGCCCCAGTGATATCAACTGGCTTGTCACATGAACTCATGCAGTAACTCAGAAATCTAGAGCGAGCAACGCATAAATATTCAGGCCCGTACTATTTTGATTCCCGGAAACAATACGCCATGTATGAAAATTTATTACTGAATGATCTCACAGCTAAAAAAAGGAAGGAATAAAGTAAACATTCTCCCCAAGAATCAATAAACCCCTCTCACTAAAATATACCAAGAAATTCATCAGACGCAGATTGATTACTCTCTCCAGTTGCGATATTTAAGCAGCACTGTTGGTCAGTCAACGCTTTCACATGACAAATATACACAATGAAACAATAACCACTTAATATCACTCAGAACAAGTTTGTGTTGGCTACAAATCATAAAATTGCAGTGCACGAAATAGTTACTAAGGTCAGCATCAGAGATGCCACAAGAAGACTAACCTAAGGGACGTTAAGTCACATCAATAAAATTTCAGTGGCATTCGGAATTCCACAGTCGACCCGATTGCTCCCTGCACACATAAAATCAAAAGGTGTGCTAATGAAAACCAGTCGTCTCACAGGCACAGCCTGCTAATTCAAACTAAACTGTAACATGTGCACTTGTTCGACTTCTCCCAAAAGATTCAAGTACATGTATGAGGACGTACTGGATAAAAATACACACCATATTTTCTTACACTATGTCATGTCACGAGCACTGCAGAAAAACCAATTCCACAGGCTTGATTTCTCTGGTAAACTACCTTTACTCATAGTTTTCTGCACGACATGGAGCTGTGGCTCATTGCTTTCGGCAGCTGACTCCCAACAACCCAGTCACACGTTCGAAAACCGATGCAAATTCCGAAGCCAGAACAGCTAAGTAGTGTTGTGAGCCCACACAAAACACGTATGGCTCGTTGCTTACTGCATGGATGTACACGAGATAAACTGAATGCATTTTGGCCTCCTTTATGATACCTTAACATACACGTAACTCTTTGAATCCAATGTCCTAATATCTAAATCAGTTTCAACACTAATCACCGATAAGACGGATACCACAGTTCCAAACACGCTTCCACATAGCTAGGCGAACCATAGACCTCAATAACTCTTGCAATGTGATTCCAACCATCCGAAGATTCTCCTGAAGTTGTCGTTTGTGAAAGAAAGACGCCGAAAAGCGTTCCACTCATTATCACCTGTCGACTTCCGTTGTCAAGCGCAGCATGCCTCCTCACAGACAACAGATAACTCGGAATCTCCTAAAGGCGTAACAAAAGTGATTTCCCCTCTATTTACTCAAAACACAAGATTTGGGAACATACAGTCAAAGACTGATGTGCCTCTTCTCAACACGACAAAATATCGTAAAAATTAGCAGTGTGATTAACTAGTGCAATTCTGTAACCAAGCATATGTCAATTCCTTAGGCTGAGATTCATGACGATACACATATCTTACGTTCGTGTATGGAGTGAGTATCTCACCTACTCATCCCATTATTCACTGGACTCGAAACTCATAATAACACTTTCTGCTACTGTGAAAAAATCAATAAACCAGAGCATATTCCATTCGTAAGTTGCCTTACAGGGGTGTCAGACAAGTAGTCACTAACACAACTACACGGCTTCACCAGCTTCACGGGCATTAAATGACTGTCACTATGTTAACCATAACGCTTGCTGGACACAGTGTAAAACTCTATGAGAACTAACTAACACAGTCATCTCACATTGCTGATCTCTCACTGAGGCGAATCCATGGTAAATGCCAAAACAGTATGGACAAGTGGTGATTTCACATACTTCGAATGTCTCTTTACTGGTTTGTATAAACCAACTGGTCCTATCGCATTCGCTTCTAAGTCTTGTGGGACGGATCCAAGTGTTCGGTGGATTCCGATACTGTAAATATACCCATTCGACTGCTGAAGCTCTGGTAATTGGGAGTTCATCAAACTCGTAGGCGGGATGTAAGACCTCCTATGATTATGGTGGAGATGAGTCCCATAAATATCCTGTCAATAAACCGATGATCAGAATGGCCGTGAAAGGAAGACAGGAAGAGTGAAAACGTGTCCGATGAAGATAAACAGGCAGAAGTAGGAAAATACAACTTGAAAAGAAGCAGAATCAAACAGGAAGGGGTGAAAACAGTACCAAAGAAAAACTTGACAAATGTGCTAAAATCACGTAGGGAAAGAGAGAGAGGGGTGGGTTGTGATGTCAATCATTATGCTCCAATCAGTTTACATTTTTATTTGAGCATCTTCTTACTTACAGAAAAACCTGTTTTCTCGGCACCATATATATTGCATAAACTTCAATACCCATACTCATAGTCACTCACCACGTGTTTAAAACAACTCATCTTGTGCATTATCCCATCCCGAATATCCAAAAGTAGTGCTTCTAAAACATATTACACTACAATAATAGGATCATACTAAAATTGACATATCCATGAACATCGAGTGTGATTAAAACTGGTATTTTAAGACTTTTTGATAAAAATCCGTTATCATGAACCACAAGTGTATCCTCTTGAAAAGAGCAGCCAACGAAACCATTTCCTACACCATGAGTAATCCCGATTAACAATATCAACAGACCTATAAATGTGAGAAGGTTAGTCTGAGGATTTTCTGGCTGAATTAGAAACGCATCGAAATCCTGTAACTTCTTGGCAAATGGTTTGAGACGATCCGCGACACATTCATGTGGTTCATCTTATGAAGATAAGACTATCATAACATGCGTGGTAATTACCTGTCTTTATGAACTCTGCAACAAACTCTGAGGGTGTTAGACACCATAAAAACAAATACAAACAACACAGGACAATCAGGTATATTACAATCCTCCACCTGATAGGAAGGTGACATAGTTACACATGAAGCAAGTTATACCTGTACAACAATACAACAAATGTAGTCTTCATCCCCATCCAAGGGAAAACCTTAACACAAATCCATGTGGGATCTAGGTACCAACGTGCAATCTTGTACCGCATCCTAGGTCACCACAAGAGGTTCGCAATCTGCTTCAGAATCCACTGCAGATTAGATACTTTTCCAAGTGACTTTTCCATCTCTGCAAAAGAAATGTGAGATCTTCCGTGTCGAATGATTTGTTTATATTGATCTTAAAAAGTCGCGCAAAGGACACTTCTGGTTTGAAGGTCAACATGGTTCATCGTCTTGAGTCCGTCTTTGATCAGCTGTTTAGATACATTTTTGGTTTGATGCATTCTAACAGACGAAGCCTTTAGTCTGGGAAAGGAAGTAAATGTGGTTGGTCCGCGAGGACGCGGAGAAACATCCAGCATCCCGGTTGCTTTCCTTGTACAGAAGTCGTCGGGTGTTCTGCTAAATTTCTCCTTTTCATTCCAATTATTACTTTTGGCATGAGAAAGTGTTTCATAGCCAAGCCTTAGTGGTCGGATTCCTGGAACGACGTCCTAGATGCAAACAAACCCTTGAAACCAACAGCCCATTCCCTCAAGATATTCGACATCAGTGTTGGCGTTCATAAGTTGGACGGACTTTCCCAACTGGAGGTGCTCAACCGAGAACCTGAGTCACTTGACACATTTCCGTGTTACACTGTGTTGTCCGCCAAAAATCCTCCGTGCAGCCAGTCTGCGCATCTCCATTTCGTGGCATCATTCGACGGGTATAGGATCCACATCCGATGAAGGGTATTTCCCCTTGGTCTCACCATTGTCTGTCTCAAACAAGTACGACGAATAGGAATAGATCTATCAAACCACTAAAAGCTTTACGTCAGTGTCTTTCAACAGCAACTGACTTGCAGCGTCACACACTTCCCCAAAATCAATAGCTCAGGGTTTGACGACTTTCGACATTGATGCTGACCTTGATAGCTCAACTGGACTCGCTAAGCCGAAGGCACCCGGTCAGGCAACCTCGCCATTTGGCACGCTGTCGTGTCACATTGCACTGCTCGTATTCCACTCCTAGCCAGTTAGTTGGAATGCATGGCATCTCGACACAACCACCCAAATATACTATTCCATCCGACTACGCTATCGTGTTCTTCCTTGGTCTCGTGCTCGTGGGTATATATCGAGCCCGAATAATTAGTGATTGGTGTTTGCACCTATCAAGTTCGCACCAGGACAAATCCTAAATTGGTGAGCACGACGCGATCACATATCCTGACGTGATCAAATATCCCAACGTGATCACGTATCCCGACCAATAACAGATAATGAATTGATGAGCCCGCCCTATTTTATATATGTATATTGTTTTCATTTCGATAACATTTATATATCCGCTTACTTCACTTCCTCATGTCCGACCACTCTCAAGCTTATTCGTATTAAGCCGACTACGAACATGATCCAACTCGTGCCACATTGGCCAGACAATGCAGAAACATCGTTTCTGTATGCCGAGACAAATTTTCGAGAACAGAGCGTCTCAGATCCTCATTCTCGAATTCTTGCCGTCACACGTTCACTACCGCGGGAATTAAACAGACACGTTTAATTCTGAAGTAAGTGACCCTTGTGCACTTCTCAAGGCGCACTGTTGAAGAAAAGCGATCTCACAGATCGCCAACGTCTAGACGAATTGCTTCGTAACATCGAGCTAGGCAGCCACTCAGCTACTGAAGTCCTCGCACGCATGCGAGAAGTAATCGGTGCACGAACATTTGACGATGGTTTTTCCGAGAACTATTTCTCTCGAAACTACCACAACCGGTGCAAACCGTGTTGGTGACACTGCAGTCAGTCCCACTCGACGACCTGGCAGCCTCAGCAGATAAAATACTGGAGATTTCCAGCAGACCCGTCTCCAACGTATATTCTATCTGCGACAAACCAGAGCGCCAGGATTCAGAGGTGACCAAGTTGTGCAACTCTGTGAAACGGTTGCTACGATCTCGAAGTCCTAGATCACGTAGCACTTCACAGAAACGCACCTTGGCGCATCGCAGCAAGTCGCGTGGTAGCCCCAAAACGAAACCCAACAGGGTGGAAAACCCTGAATGGTGCTGGTTTCATAACACTTACGGAGATGAAGCCAGAAAATGTCGTAAACCATGCCGTTTTAAGAAGGACACAAACTCGGGAAACGGTCACGCCGGCACGTGCTCACGGCAACCGTAGCCGGCGGAAACAGCCGTTTGCTCTACGTCACCGACATTAAAACGAAAGTCCGCTACCTCGTCGACACCGGCGCAGAAGTTAGCGTTCTTCCAGCAACGACAAAGGAGCGTCATCTTGACCCATCCTTCAATCTTCAAGCAGCCAACGGCAAGGCAATCGCGACATTCGGGAGACGGTATGCCTACCTCAACTTAGGTTTACGCAAACCTATCCACTGGATCTTCCTCCTTGCTGACGTCTCTATGCCCATCATTGGCATAGATTTGCTAAACCATTACGATCTACTCGTAGATGCTCGCCGTCGACGACTGATAGATAACAACACAAAGTTATCTATTGGCGGCACCACCTATGTAGGTCCGAGTTTAGCCATCGTTAGGACCAAACAATCAGGCGACGCGTCCTACCAGGCAGTTTTGGAGAAATATCCAGAGTTACAGCAACCGAAGCACTCTTCCGTGCATAACCAGCAATGTTATGCATCACGTCACAACCACAGGTCCACCTGTGGCATCCAAAGCGCGCCGTCTAGCCCCCGATAAGCTAAAACGGCGAAAAGCGAATTCGACCACATGCTCGAACTGGGCATTATCAGACCGTCAAATAGTCCTTGGGCATCGCCATTGCACATGGTTCCCAAAAAGGATAGCAACGACTGGCGTCCGACCGGTGATTACCGAAGGCTTAACGCCAAAACAACTCCGGACTGCTACCCTATACCCACGTTTACGACTTGACCGCAACCTTATGCGGCATGAACATTTTCTCCAAAATCGACTTGGTCAAAGCGTACAACCAGATACCTATGGCAGCAGAAGATATCGCGAAAACAGCCATTATTACTCCTTTTGGCCTGTTTGAATTCCTGCGCATGCCTTTTGGTCTTCGGAATGCAGCACAAACATTCCAACGCTTTATGGACGACGTCTTCCGTGGTCTGAATTTTGTTCATGTCTACATCGATGACTGTCTAATTGCGAGTCCAGATAAGGAAACTCACCTTAAACATTTGGACCTCGCATTCGAAAGACTCAAAAAACATGGCATCACAGTTAACTTACAGAAGTGTGAAATAGGAGTTGAATCACTCAGCTTCCTTGGGCATACCATTGACAACAAAGGTATACGCCCATTGAGAGATAAAGTGGCGGCTATCACAAACTATCCAGAGCCGACCACTGTGAAACATCTCCGCACTTTCAATGGCCTGGTAAGTTATTACCGAAGGTTTATCCCTAACTGTGCCTCTGTCATGAGACCACTCACAGATCTACTTCGAGGAACTGCGAAGTTCGTGTCTCTGGACAACGCGGCTAGACTTGCTTTCTCTAAAGTCAAGGAAGCCATTTCGAACGCAACCATGCTTATGCATCATGACCCCAATGCTCCTCTGAGTATTGCTGTTGATGCATCTGATTCAGCAATTGGAGCAGTTTTGCAACAGTTGACTGACAACCAGTGGCAACCGTTAGCCTTTTTCTCGAGGCGGCTGCAAGACGCGGAAACAAGATACAGTACATTTGGTAGGGAACTCCTAGCCATGTACTGTTCTGTACGCCATTTTCGACATTCTGTGGAAGGTCGTGATTTCATTATTTTCACAGACCACAAACCGTTAACGTTTTCCCTCAGCTCGGCGTCTGACAAATACTCCCCTCGTGAGTCGCGACAGCTGGATTACATTTCCCAGTTCACGTCAGACATCCGCCACATTTCTGGAGCAAACAACTCCGCAGCCGACGCACTATCTCGAATAGCTTCGATAAACTATATCGAGGGTATTGATCTCGTTGAACTAGCTCGGCGTCAAAAGGAAGACCTTGAGCTGCATCATGAGTTGTCGTCCACAACTCTCAAACTGCGACTTTGTCCTGTTGGATCAGACAAGGAGCAATTTTGTGCGATGTCTCTGCTAGTCAACCACGCCCAATAGTTCCGAAGAGTTGTCGACGCAACGTCTTCAATACGTTGCACAAACTCTCTCATCCAGGTGTACGAGCCACCATTAGGCTTATCGCACAACGTTTCTGCTGGCCTGGGATGAACAAAGACGTTAAGGAGTGGGCCCAGTCGTGCTTAGCTTGTCAAAAGTGTAAAGTCACGCGACACACGAAAAGCCCTTTAGGCTCATTTCTAGCCCCAGACATGCGTTTCGACCACGTCCATATAGATATTGTAGGACCCCTACCAGAATCTAATGGATGTACCTACCTTTTCACCTGTGTTGATCGTTTCACACGATGGCCGGAAGCAGTACCCATTAAAGATATTACTGCCGAAACAGTTGCTCGTGTTTTCGTCGAAAGATGGATCGCGAACTTCGGATGTCCATCCTACGTCACAACCGACCGTGGGCGCCAATTTGAGTGTGGACTATTTCACGCTCTAACGGCACTTTTAGGTTGCACTCGGTTCCGAACGACAGCCTACCATCCACAAGCAAATGGCATGGTAGAGCGTTTCCATCGACAGCTGAAAGCTTCCCTTTCAGCTACAAACATACCTCAGTGGACCGAGGCTCTGCCTCTAGTCCTACTAGGTATTCGTAACGCGTTGAAAGTTGATGCTGGATGCACTCCTGCAGAACTCGTCTATGGGACCACTCTTCGCCTACCAGGTGAGTTTGTTTCCCCTTCAACTTTCAAACATGTTTCCGACAGGGCATCTTACGTGACTAGGCTTACAAACGCAATGCGTTCAGTTAGGCCTTCTCCGATTAGACCGCAAACGACTGATGTTTTCGTCCACCCCAGTTTACAGAAGACATCACACGTGTTTGTTCGCCACGACGCTGTTCGTCGACCACTTGAACCACCCTACGACGGGCCGTTCAAAGTGATTAAGCGACCGAGAAATTCTAATAATTGAGCGAGACGGACGTGAAGATACTGTCAGTATCGACCGTTTGAAACCAGCTTATTTCGAAGGCAACCCCATCATAAGTGACGTTTCAGCTCGCTACATCCGACCGACGGATGACTCAATTATCGAAATTCTCGACGATGTGCCTGGTAATGCACAGTTGCAACAACCATCGGCCCAACAGAAAACACGATCAGGTCGAACCGTTAGGTTCCCGGAGTATTTAAAGTCGTATTCAACTTAGTGGTGTGAAATAAGGTGTGCCAGCCATGTTTTTTTGATGAATTCAATTTTTTTCGGGGCACCATTTTTCTTATTTACCGGCAATGCACAAATCCTAGAACACTTTGCCTTTTTGTGTCAATTGTTCTTATTACCATGTAATGGAACTCTTTTCAAAAAAACGGTGAGAGTAAGCGTTAACTTTATTTTCGATATATTTGTACATACATAATTCCCATTTTACGGAACCTTTTCATGGTATTAAAGACTTTCATTCATGTTCCAGATGCAACGAGCACTGAACGGAACGTCAAAGGAAACTAAGGACTGCGATCGACGGACAATTCGATTTGATGCATTTTATTTTTAACTTGCCACGACACCCTAGAACAAGTTCAGGCAACCAGGGGCCACTTCATGCAGTGAGCCTATCGGAAGAGTTTTAGCAGTGGAGAAACCAATGGGTTTTTACTTCCGGCTGGTATCGTCTTAGGGTCCCCACGAACCCACTAGGAGTGAGTGGTCTGTAGCGTCACACACTTCCCCAAAATCAATAGCTCAGGGTTTGACGACTTTCGACATTGATGCTGACCTTGATAGCTCAACTGGACTCGCTAAGCCGAAGGCACCCGGTCAGGCAACCTCGCCATTTGGCACGCTGTCGTGTCACATTGCACTGCTCGTATTCCACTCCTAGCCAGTTAGTTGGAATGCATGGCATCTCGACACAACCACCCAAATATACTATTCCATCCGACTACGCTATCGTGTTCTTCCTTGGTCTCGTGCTCGTGGGTATATATCGAGTCCGAATAATTAGTGATTGGTGTTTGTGTCTGTCATGTTCGCACCAGGACAAATCCTGAAGGCCGAGTAACTATCTAGCGGCATGACATTTGAAGATCCCACCCTCAGCAAATGTGAGGGACAATTCCTTAATCTTCTTATTAAATGAACCAGCATTTAACTAACCACCGGGTTAACCGGAGTTACAGATCGCGAGAGGCTGGATGTGTGTTATTATGAGACCAGGAGAACTTCCGCAAAGCCTACAAGCGACAGCCGTCAAATCAACTGGTTTAGACAATCTTGTGACACAGGTATACTTATATTGGAGTCGTTTTTAGTAATTCACTGTTTTAAACAAATGTGGCAATATGTTTTCAATCATCATTTGTTTTCAGCTTAATGGACAAGGAATGTTGCTTTCACCCTTTCTGTTTTACTTCATACTGTAGATTAAAGTTGTGTTCTCTCAACTTCTGTCTCAAGAAATAGAACCAAGGGCTAGAAAATTTCCAATTTCTTCTACTTGCACTAATGTTGTTAGATGTTGGATATTGTAGGTCACACGGCGCATAAAAGTATTATCTTGTAACCACCGCAATATTCGAAATTCGCGTTACATGGACGAAGTAGTTTTTGTCAGTGAACGTCCAAGCTTCTTATTAAATGCCGCATTTGACGCAGTATCTGGATATGCAAATATTAACGCAAAGCGTATGCAATCAAATGAAGTTATTGGGTTACATTCATCGAAGCCTTCAAAAGATGTCTGTTTTGTCCTTGCTCGTTTTGAGGGTGAATGCTATGAACACCTTCGCTCTCTAGGTGTGTCTATTTATGGTCCACAAGTTATTTTACACTATGTGAGAGAGAATAAAGCCTTGCCCAACCTTCCATATCCATTATTCTCGACAGCCCTCATGAATACTACTGCTACAGTCACGTCTGTGACTGGGGCTCAAAGGAAACAGATATTTGACTCAATACAAATGTTGCATGGTACAGTGTCACGGGACTTAACAGATAGTGTAAATGTTGTGATTACAGCCAAAGTTGGATCTAAGAAATATTTGGTGGGTGCAAGCAGAAACCTCCATATTTTACTTCCTGACTGGATCACTGAGGCCTGGCGGCTTTCAGAGGTTCAAGATCCAATTGATATGATGTTGCCAATTTACACTGAAAAGTATCGTGTTCCAATATTTTCACAACTTGTGATTTGTGTTTCAGGTTTATCTGTAGAAGAGCGTAAAGAGGTTTCTGATTTAGTTTCTAAGCATGGAGGAAGTTATTCAGGGATTATGAAAGTTGGTGAAACAACACATTTAATAACTCATCAAGCCTCAGGAACAAAGTATGTTCATGCCAAGAAGTGGAAGATACAAATAATAAATATTCAATGGCTTATTGATTCTGTTAATAAAGGATATGCTCTTGATGAAAAAGATTATCGAGTAGACCAACAAAATGCAAAGTCATCAACCCCAACTTCAAATATAAGTCAGAATAACTTTTCATTTGAAAATATATCAGCTATCAGTTATGCGGGTAGTATATCTACGAGGATTGACGAAACTCGAACAGATTTAAGCTACAAAGAAAATGTTCAGCTTGGTAATGCTCAGGCTGACTTTTCAATCCTCCGCGGCTGTGTAATTATGCTTTCTGATTGCAACAAAGATGAGATTCAATTATACTCACTAGTTGTTAGACAACTAGGTGGGAAATTATGCACTGAATTGCATGATCAAGTAACAGAAACTTTAACCCATGTAATCGTTGGTAATGCTTCTACCTTCAACTGTAAATCAAAGGAGAAGGACGTTATATACGTCCGAGGATCATGGTTACTTGCATGCCGTGATTCTGGCGTTCGTACTCCAGAGGATGACTATTTAATCTGCGACACAGATGAAGACTTTCAAAAGGTTGAGAACGATGCTGTCAACGTTACAGTTACAAACGTGGATGCAGCTGACTTGCAATTGATCAACCAATATTTTGCGGAGGGTGGGCTAGCAGAAGTTGACGAATTTCAAAATGATGTCAATCAATCAAAAGGACCTATTCATGGTTTTGATGAAGCTGCGACCCAACATGTAACTGTGAATGGTGTTAAACATGTAGAGACTCTTGAAGTACCTCAAGCCAGTGGTTGCTTTTCAAATCTATCGTTCTCTTTTCACAGTGAGTTAAGTAATGTAGATGTTTCCAAGTATTCTGATCTAATTGAGACAGCTGGAGGAACTATATTTCACAATGAACAGCGTACAGACTTCTTGGTCACTCCTTTTTTTGTCTTCAAGCTTCCTGAGGTTACGAACTCTTGCGAATTTGTTACTGTTGCTTGGATCCTGCACTGTGTTCATGAAAAGAGCCTTTGTATACAAGATATTATTAGAGAAAATGCATTTCGGCCCATAATACGAAAATCGAATCCACCACCTTTATCTGGATGTGTCATCTCTCTCAGTGGCTTTGTTGGGAAGGATAGAAGTCTTTTAACCTCCTACGCTGAAGCCTTGGGAGCTATTGTTCAGGAATGCTTCTTACGCAAGTCAGTGGCATCTAGAAACCTCTCGGCCAGTACTCATTTAGTAGCAGCTAAACCAGATGGACGAAAATGGCCTGCTGCTCAACAATGGGGTTTACCAGCTGTCAGCCGTCTTTGGCTTTATAAATGTGCTGAAACTTGGTGCCTAGTTGATGAATCTAAATTCCCAGTGTGCGACGTGGCTGATAATTCTGAAGGTGCAACTAACAAAGACTTGAATATCAACTCAACGATAATCAACCCGTTAGGTATCCCGGTAGATAGAAAGTTCTTAAAGGAGATACAAGTTGATGAGTGTACTGAATTAGAAGGCAACATCAGCTCTCGTAAGTCAATCAATGGTAAGACTAATGAGAGTCTTGAATGCAATTTAGCCCTCAGCAATCTTGCTGACACCATGAAAACTCCTGATTGGGTTCAAAATGTCTCAGGAATTCATATATCCAAATTGAATATATCAAATAATTCTTCAAGTTATTCTTATAGACCATCCCCTCCTTTATCTGTACAAGTATCCAGATGTCTAAAAAATGCAGTCAGAGAGACATCAGCATTACCGAAACGAAAATTAAAACTTTCAGGTAATATAATTTTGAATTCATAACTGTTAGTGTTGTTATTTAAGGTGTAGTAGTTGTTTCATTGTGGTTCATATCATATCATGAACCATTGGTTAGTATAACTATGGATTCATCTATATTGGGTTGTATAGCATGACAGTGTCATCTGTCTCTGTGGATTCATGTTGGTATATACTTTGGACACTGCAAGTATGTTGTGATGAAGCAGCTAGACTACTTGTTGATGACATCATTTATTCATAAGGCTTTGATTGGTAGTGTTGTTAGATTTTATGACCAAAGTTTCATGAATTTTTGAGTAAAGATAAGGGAGGACCGTAGGATTCTTCCTCTGAAAGTATAAATTGGCAAGGTCTCATGGTAACTTGACGATGGAAGTTGATCTTATCCAAACAACGGTAAACCATTCGAGTAGAAATGCTGTAGATCCTGAGAGGTATATGCTAAAATTGTATTCTTTGACTGTTTGAACTTCTTAATCCATACCCAATGATTCACCCTTTTTTTTTTACTGTAGTGTTTGTTTCATTTGGGTCATGAGGGAAATAAGTTGGTGAGTGTTATTTTAGCTATCTGCTACAAATCGAAATGATATCTGGTAATCAGCTCCCTGAAGGTAGTGTAACGTACTCAATACACTCCATTTATAGTTAGATTGGTCGAGTATTCAACCCATGAGCAATATGTTGTCGTCTCTCAAGGTTTTTGAGAGTCAGGACGTTGCTGATCTCTCCCTCAATGGGTATCGTTTGCATATTACAGGTTTATCATAGCATATATGATTGATAGTTTATTCTGTGACTGAATGACAAAATCAACGTAGAACCTCGTACAGAGGTGTGTCAGCTACACTTCAGTAGTACACCAAGAATAGGTGGATACAAAAAGTGTGGGAATAAACAATCTGAAAACAAAGGTTAGTGTGAATATACAAGCTATTGTAACCGATTTTTAGCCGTTTCACCAACAGTCATCAACTACTGATTCTTATGGTCTCGGATATGAGATTAATGCAGTTTACATCTCCTCATACGGTTCAGATCGAATGTCAGAGACTTAATGAATTGGAGCCGTGTCTTGGTCTTGCTACCCTAAACCCAGTTCCGACCTAATCCTACCTGGGAAGTAGGATCAACCCTGGTGGGTTAGTTGCCGATGTGATTTCGGCACGGATACAAAAGGCTCGATTGGCTTTTGCCAATTTGCGCCACCTATGGCGCCGCCGTGATATTCGTTTGTCTATTAGGGGCGCGTGTACTGCACAGCAGTCCTCTCTGTTCTACTATATGGCTGTGAAACATGGCCACTGAAAGTGGAGGATACAAAAAGGCTTCAGGTGTTTGATCACCGTTGCCTTCGTAATATAGGACGTATTCCGTGGTGTCACCATGTGAGTAATGCAGAAGTTAGGTGTAGAGTTTTGGGGAGAAGAGGTAAGTCAGTCGATGAGGTTGTGAACCTTCATCGACTGAGATGGTTGGGACACGTACTACGTATGCCTAGTCACCGATTGCCTCGTCACACAATGTTGGCTGAGGTGGGTTCAGGCTGGAAAAAGGCCCGAGGTGGCCAGACTAAAACATGGCACCAATGTATGAAGTCTCTGACTGTTGGTTTAAGCCATGTAGGACGATGCAGACTAGGTGGTTGGGGTCCACGGGACAAGAGGAACCAGTGGTTGGAGACCCTAGGTGATATGGCTCAGAACCGAAGTCATTGGCGCAGATGTATACACACATTATCCTCATCTTAACAACGCTATACCGAATCTCACTATTTTGTCACTTCTCTTTCCTTTCTTCTCGTACTTTATATTTCTTTTGACTGCATTCACTTATCTTCATCCTTCACCTCACTACCTTTTTACTTGATGTGCTGATATGAGGTGTGGCAACTCGGACCGTTACGCAGTAATGCCTGGTCCTACGTTGATAATGATGATGATGATGACCTAATCCAGCTTCCCATAGCGTAGCACATCGAGGTGGTGGATGGGCATGCTCAACGTGTGTGCAAGCCATCTCAGTCGAAGGTTCAGAACCTGATCAGTCTTTTTGTCTGTCTTGCCTAGTACCCTTTGCCTAACGTCAACATTGCTTAAACGGTGATTCCACCACACACAAGCAATTCTACAAAGATATCTATAATCAAGACCTTGTAATCGTTTTATGTCTTCTACTTTTAATGGCCATGTCTCGCAGCTGTTTAACACGACAGACTGTCGAAGAAGATACCACCATCGCCTTTCTGGCATTGTGGTGCCTGACATTTCGTCAAATCTTGTCCATCGAAATAACACCGACCCCGGGACCGTAATACTGCAGACCATAAGGACGGTGTTTGCCGTCAACACACAATGATGTGTACGAAGGTCATCCACCAGATATCGCCACAGATCTTATTCTCGATCAATCGATAAATCTCTTGGTTTGTTAGCTGATTTTTATACTCATGCACTTGGCCACCGAAAGAATATCGAGGGGACTGCTGATCCTTCAGTAAACAGGGTGAAACTCCCTCTGCCTCGGTCAGATAGATGCAAGAAAAGGACAGGGCTGCTCAATCTTTCTCTCTTTCAAAGAGGGAGTTGATATGGGTATAGAGAGAAAAGACTAGTCTGGAGAAGGACCAATCTAAATGTATTTTGTTTTTTTACATCTACAGTTAGACAGACAATGGATCAGCCACTCAACAGTCTTTCGCCGTCAATACATGTTTCTACACATTCATCGTATCTTCTGCGGTAATTATTCTGGTCAGGAATCAACTAGGAAATTGTTGAATGTTAGTGGCTGACAGTCCATATTCGTGTATCGTTAGTAGCTATAGCAGTTTTAAAATCAACAACTTAGACATTAGTCTTTTTCTATCCTATTATTCTTCATCTACTACTATGAACTGTGGTAACTTGAACCGACGCACTTGTGTACGAGGCTCCATGTCGCTTTTATCTTTCTGTTTGTCGACTATTCATATTCATACGAATATTTAGAAAAACGTTGGTGCTGAGAAATCTGCTGCAAACTTCTTAAAATTTGTATTGCAATTGCACTAGAGTGTATGTATGCGCTGAAGTTCTGCGTATACGCTTGGACTAAAGATGATTGCCTTGAATCTATTGTAAAAGACAATAAAATAACCTTATGAGTTGTATTTTTATGATCGTTAACCACTCTTTCTTCTAAAATCCTTCACTAGTTTGTTACCTGAGATGTCTAACCCCTCCTACCATATTCGCCGAATTCGCTGATATAGTTGTAAGTGCTTTTTTAGTTTTGTAGAAACAGTTTGGTCACTGGAAGATAGTGGATAAAACTTCTCTAGGAAACTTCAAGAAAGCATCTTGAAAAGAAGAGTAGGATTCCGCATCGTTGGTCATATCAAAACACTTCCTATGTGAAGCCAACATTTCTAGGCTGACAACTCAACTTTTATAAGTGATGATTGACTACTACTGAAGTGTGTGTTCTAGCCGCATAATCATGGAGAGACTAAAATATGCTCTGGGTCCAAAATTACAACTGGAACAGGCTGGCTGGCCTTCGACAGCGTCAACCGAGAAGTAAATTGGCAGTTGCTCCAACACTACGGAATACAACAAACCTTTATCAATCACATTCAACAGCTATATGAAAACGCCGCATGCTAAGTAGTCCACAATGGAAAGCTCAGTGACACCTTTGAAGTAAAGTGAAGACAGCAGTAAGACAAGACAAAGTTGCCTACTATCACCGATGATCTTCCTGATTGTAGTGAACTAGATGATGCAGCAAACCGTGAGGAGCTGTGAGAAGATGGGCATAAGCTGTATGATCGATGAAAAGAGCCTAGAAGATTGGGATTTCGCCGATGATTTATGTTTAATGTCGCACAAAGTCGTAGATGTGCAGGCGAAAACTATCAAGTTGACAGAAGAGGCAGGGCAACGAAGACGGGACTGCAAGTGAAAGTAGAGAAGACAGGTGATGAAGATACCCAACGAACAACAGCATAAACAACAAGAGGCACCAATCACCATTAACGGGAGAAACCTGAAGGAAGTAGTCTCTTTCACCTACCCACCTACCTAGGCAAGGGAGCATCGTTTCAACTACAGGCGGCACAGGCAGAGACAAGGATGTCAAAGCCAGCCAGGATCGGAAAAGCAAGACAGGCTTTCATCAATGTGAAAACAGTATGGAGATCTACTGCACTCAGCATAAAGCGTGAACAAGATACGGATTTTCAACACCAATTCAGTGAAGTCAGTGCTTCTATGTAGTGGTTGAGACAGTTGGCGTGTCACGAAAAGCATTTCCAACAAACTACACACACTCATCAACAACTACTGCCTACGCTGGCTCGATACTGAAGATCGATGAGATGGCCAGAATAATAAGAATAAGTAAGGAAGAACTCTGGCTGGCTGGCAGGCAAGGAACCAGCCAAGAACCTATCAGCCAACAGAAGGAAGTGGAGATGGATTGGGCATACACTGAGAAGACCATTTGGGGACATGACGTGTCAGGCGAAGTCGTGGAGTGGAACGGGGATGGGAAACGATGAGTTGGGTGTCCCATCTGAGGGTGACATGGAGGAGATGTTGTGAGGAAGAAATGAGAATTTGTGGGCTGTCATGGAGCCAGATTGAAAAGACTGCAGATTGTAGAGTGCAGTGGAGATGTGCTACTGAAGCCCTATGTTCCAATAAGAACCCAAGGGAAGAATTATAATAGGCTAGTGAAAATACTTTAGAGAATATTTTATGGGTTGAGATTCTACAGACAGTGTATTTATAGCCTTATTGGTAGCACATTTGGTGTACACTCTCCATCTTAGAAACATTTGATCAAATGAAAGATACATATGGGGTGTATTATTTATTACTCATATATTCAGCTTCCTCTGAATTTATCTATTGGTTCATGTTATATTAACAACAAGTAAGTGTCTTAGGTGGTAAGACATTTGTATGAATTGTTTTACGTATCTTGATTCTTAAATTCACCATAGTTGCCTACTATTTCGCGTATTTTTTTGGATTGAAAGATGTTAAGGAAATTTGATGTTGTCAACCATGTTCAATGATCACTATTAAAGGGTTTTTACGCCATGTATAGAAATTTTTTTATGATCTTAGAAATGAAACCTGTAACGATGTGCGTATACTACACGAGTTATTCATATGTAAACCTGTGAATGTTATCTTATCTAGTTTTTCACGTATAACAGAATGCATTTTTCTTAAATTCAATGAAACAGATCTGTTCAACTGCCTGATATCATTAAAACCTTCACAATGCCTTGGAGCGGATGGTATCCCAGGTATTCTTTTCACGAAATGTGCTGATATTCTATGCTATCTACTCACAAACATTTTTAATGAGTTTTTTCCTGAACATTTCTGGAAAGAAATTTATATAGTTCCGGTACCTAAGTTCACATCTCCTGGAGCTAGAGTGAAATTCCAACCGATCGTAATTACTGCACCATCCTTAAAAATAATGGAGAAACTGTTGATTCGTGCGCTTGAACCTCCTTTGCAGGCTTTCAGAGATCAAAATCACCTTGTCTACAAACCTAGGAGGAGTACCTTAGATGCTGCATTTGTTTTACATCATAATATTATTACCAGTCTTCACAAAGGTGCTAAATATGTTATATCTGTCTTCTTGGATTTTACTTCTGCCTTTAACTCTATCCGTAGACCCCTGTCATTAAACAGGCTTGCCAGTGCTTACATTGAGTCTTGGATTGATTCGTATTTTCCGGAGAGAAGACAGCAGAGTATGTAGAGGGAAACGTTCTGCTTCGCTGCTCAGTGAAACTGTTGTGCCTCAAGGTGCTGTTCTTTCTCCTTTCCTTTTCTCTTTCTTTTTGCATGACTTAACAACCTCAACTAAAGACAACTTCTTTAGGTACACTGATGACCTAAAAGTATCCATGCCGATCATCTCCTCTTCTGATTGTCCTCAGTTTAAAAACTTCTTGAAGGAAATTGGTTACTGGTCTTCCTTAAATGACCTCACATTCAATCCCTCCATATTTCAGATGGTTAATTGTAGCTTAAGACATGAAAAAGACCTTTGCGCATTGCTTGAATCCCATGACTCTTGTCTTATAGAAGGCTCTGTTATAGAGAATGTAGCTTATGATTTTTTTTCTGATCTTTCTTGGTCCCCTCATAGCTTACTGATTTCTTGAGAAAATTGTTCGCATGATCTCTTATATCAGGAAACTCAGACTGTCTGGCATAACTCAGCCTCTACTCTTACGTTTCATTAATTCCTGTGTTTTACATCAAGTGTATTATTATCGTTATTATTAAACTATTATTATTATTATTATTAAATCGTCAAGCAATTTAAGATATGACCAACACTTCCAGTTCACATATATGACTATGTTGATATCAGGCGAAGAGTACTAGTCGATTGATGACGTTGTGAATTTTCATCGACTGAGATGGTTTGGATATGTGTTGTGCATACCAAGCTACTGCTTACCTCAACGTGCCAAGCTAGGAGAATTGGGGTTACTTTGGAATAGGGTTTAGGATGACGAGACCAAAATTCAATACCAGTCCATGAAGTCTCAGACAGTTGGTCTAAGCTGTCTGGGGAGGGTTAGACTGTTTAGCTGAGCTCCCCCAAGATGATAGAAATCAGTCATTGAGGCTTGACTGTTGGTGATATGGCTGAACACCAACTGATTACACACTGGTGCAGATCTATTCATTCTCTGTCAGCTTCTAAAGCTTGGATGTTGTAACTCATGTAAATTTTTTTTCAATTTCCTCTCCTCCTACACACCTTTTTCTACCTACTTGTTCTTTGTAAACTACTGTAAAGTGTAACGACTTGTGCCGATTCAAGTGTGTGTGTGTGAGGCTCTACGTTGGTTTTGTCTCTTTGTAATATGACTATCTCCCTACAACTTATCTTTCAAATAATGGTCCTACCTATAGTATATTAACAGTTATCCTACTAAAGTACTCAGTGACTAAGTCTTCTTATGCTATAATTTATTCTTTTATTGCTTTCAGATGATGAAGGGGATGAATTGTGTTTACAAGGTGTGGTGATATGTGTAGCGAAACACTTAAGTTCTCGTCAGGTAGAACTTAATGGTATCGTGAGAAAATTGGGTGGAGATTACAAGTGGACGTATAATTCTCAGGTATAGTTTCTTGTTTATGACTTAATGACATCAGTGATGATTTAAAAAAGTGTAGACGATTCATTCACCGTTTACTGGTCTCTACTCTATTCAGTAGTCACTTTTTGTATTGAAGGCTCTCGAACGGAACGCTTATGGGCGTGTTAGAGCCAGTGGTGAGGTGTCCGGGGAGCTGTGCTCGTCGAGTGATGTTCATCAAGGATGCTCACTCTCCATTCTTATTCAATATTATCATAGATATTCTTATAGAGGTATCCCTCTCATTACCTGACTACACAGAGGTTGACCTCATTTTCGTTAGACCTAGAATAAGCAGATGTTACAGTCTTGTTATTTGAAGACGCTGACAAGATGCAGAGTCTTCTTGACACAATGACTGGTGATTTGAGAATGTTTGAGATGCGTTTCTCACCACCGAAATGCAAATTGTTGCTCCGGGATTGGTCTTCAACGGTGCCTTGGCTAACAATAGGAGAGTGTGGTGGTTGAGTGTGTCGACCACTTCACTTACCTGGGAAGTGTGGTCAGCCCTGGTGGGTCAGTGACCGATGAAATCTCCACGCGAATACAAAAAGCTCGATTGGATTTTGCCAACTTGCGCCGCTGTGATATCCGATTGTCTAATAAGGTTCATATGTACTGCACAGCATTCCGCTGTGTTCTTCTGTATGGCTGTGAAACGTGGCCATTGAAGGTGGAAGACATGGGAAGGCGGCTTCAGGTGTTTGACCACCGTTGTCTTCGTAGTATAGGCTGTATTCCGTGATGTCACCACACCATGTGAGTAACGTATACCTAGTCGTCGTCTACCTCGTCATACAATGTTGACCGAAGTACATTCACGTTGGAAAAAGGCTCGAGGTGGCCAGGCTAGAACATGGCATCAATGTATGAAGTATTTGAGACTGTTGGTTTGAGCTATGTGGGACGATGCAGACTGGATGGTTGGGGTTGGAGGGACAAGAGAAACCAGTGAGTGGTTGGAAACTGACTTAAGGTGATCAAATGGCTGAGAACCGATATCGTTATCGCAGATGTATCTTTCACACACATTATCGTCATTTTACCGACGCTATACCGAATCTCACCATTTTGTCATTCTTTCTTTCTCTCTTTTAGTATTTTGTATTTTTTTTCACTGAATTTTCTTTTGTTCTTCATGTTCCACTATCACTACCTTGTTTACTTGATGTAGAGTGATATGAAGTGTGACAAGTAGGACGGTTACGCAGTAATGCCTGGTCTTATGTTGATTTGGATGGATGGAAGTAGTCACTTTCTGTTACATAATGATTTAGGGGTTACATGTTCTTTTCAAATTTAATGCTTCTATTTCATGAACTCCTTTTGGAGGTGATTGGTTTTACGAAAACTTTTTTTCCAAGTAATAGAATATAGATATATAGTCGTTTATCCTATTACTGTAATCGTTATTTCACACTGATTTTGGAAAACTATAATTCACCCGCCAGGCAGAATCTCTTCTTTTACTTATCAAATGAACTGACTAGAAGAAAAACGGTTTAATAAGAGATAAATAATGTGACAAACTGTTATCTCTATTTCAACACATTTCCGTCAAGTGTTATAGGTTTTTAAACTTATTTACTTGTGAATAGAATAGTGTATAAGCTCCTAGAATGTGTATTAGCAATCGTTTTTCCCAATGTAAAGATGAGAATTATTTCTAACCTTATGATTTTCACTGTTTTCATAGCTATATTGTATTGATGTAAGCATTGTTTTGCATAGAAGATTGTTAGTTTTTTTATATGCAGTTATAATTATATTATAATTTTTCCCTTGGGTTCTTATTGGAACATAGGGCTTCAGTAGCACATCTCCACTGCACTCTACAATCTGCAGTCTTTTCAATCTGGCTCCATGACAGCCCACAAATTCTCATTTCTTCCTCACAACATCTCCTCCATGTCACCCTCAGATGGGACACCCAACTCATCGTTTCCCATCCCCGTTCCACTCCACGACTTCGCCTGACACGTCATGTCCCCAAATGGTCTTCTCAGTGTATGCCCAATCCATCTCCACTTCCTTCTGTTGGGTGATAGGTTCTTGGCTGGTTCCTTGCCTGCCAGCCAGCCAGAGTTCTTCCTTACTTATTCTTATTATTCTGGCCATCTCATCGATCTTCAGTATCGAGCCAGCGTAGGCAGTAGTTGTTGATGAGTGTGTGTAGTTTGTTGGAAATGCTTTTCGTGACACGCCAACTGTCTCAACCACTACATAGAAGCACTGACTTCACTGAATTGGTGTTGAAAATCCGTATCTTGTTCACGCTTTATGCTGAGTGCAGTAGATCGGGACACTGATTTCAATAGTTTTTTCAGGCGATGTTAGTTCATGGTGAATACCAACCTGAAATTGCGTCTCTATCCGCTAAGATTTAAGTAGTCCTTTAGTATCACTACTGTTCTGTACTCTACTAAATTAACCAGACTTTGATAAGTGAAGCAGGGTTCGTATTTGACAAAATCAAAGTAGAACTGCGCACCTAGATGGTTCGCTTCAAGCTGCCACACTTTACAGAGGACACAAAAGGATAATGTCATGATAAATAAAGTAGTGTGCGACAATCAACAGTTCAAAGATAAAGGTTAGTGAGGAAAAGATAAGCTTTAGATGTAAAGTAGTGAATACATCACTTTGGGGGCCTCCGTCAGGCAATTTACCCCCTCCGTATATGGTTCAGACCGACAGTCAGATACTTCATCGACTGATACTACATCTTGGTCTTGCTGTTCTGAACCCTCTTTCAATCTAGTCCGAATCCTCCTAGCGTAGCGTTGCACATCGAGATAGATGGTGGCTCATAGTTTCATCCATCAACATAGGACCAGGTATTACTGTGTAGCGGCTTGAGTTGTCACACTTCATATCACTCTACATCAAGTAAACAAGGTAGTGATAGTGGAACATGAAGAACAAAAGAAAATTCAGTGAAAAAAAAAAATACTAAAAGAGAGAAAGAAAGAATGACAAAATGGTGAGATTCGGTATAGCGTCGGTAAAATGACGACAATGTGTATGAAAGATACATCTGCGATAACGATATCGGTTCTCAGCCATTTGATCACCTTAAGTCAGTTTCCAACCACTCACTGGTTTCTCTTGTCCCTCCAACCCCAACCACTCAGTCTGCATCGTCCCACATAACTCAAACCAACAGTCTCAAAGACTTCATACATTGATGCCATGCTTTAGTCTGACCACCCCGCGTCACCTTTTCCCAGCCTGAACCTACTTCACCCAACATTATGTGACGAGGCAGACGACGACCACGCATACATAACACACGTCCCAACCAGCCATCTCGGTCGGTCAAGGTTCACAACCATGTCAACTTATTTACCTCATCTCCTTAAAACTCAACATCTGACATCTGTGTTACTCACGTGGTTGTTGTGACACCACGGAATACAGCCTATACTATGAAGCCGGCTTTCCATGTCTTCCACCTTCAATGGTCATATTTCACAGTCATACAGTAGAACAGACCGGACTACTGTGCAGTACATAGGTCAAAGTTTAATCACATCTGAACGAGTGTATTTCTGTGTTGATTTGTCTGCTCACAATATGCGTCACAGTGAAACACATCTTATCGACAGACTGAAATGCAATTATAATCTATCACAGTGCCTAAGTCTTACTCCTGTAGTTGATATCGAGGTTAGGCATAGGAGGCAAGAAAGATAAGTTATCCTAATCCTGGGTATATACCTACGTTGACTTAGATGACTTAGATTATGTGTTGAGCATGCTAAAATGCATCACTCTTTTACTGTCAGACTGAGCTGTGTAGGAAAATGTTGAGTTCTCCCTGGTTGAAGTCTGTTCAACAACAGAAACTAGCGGTTTTCTCCAACCTTATGGAACAAATGTTCCCATTAGCATAGCTAGTTAGTGCAGCCTTTGTTCTTCGAGTACATAGAAATAAGTCTACAGTCAATAGCTAATAATTTCATGCCATTCACCTTTCACGTGCCATATTTTCACAAAGTGGATTACCGTTCAAGTATACTCCTAGGTAATAGTTACAGATTATATTGTGGAACACATTTCACCAGTGCTGTACACTTCTATGGTGTGAGTATCAGTGTATGTTTTTACAGGTTGAATTCACGAAACTTTATTCAGTTGGTTGAATAAAGAGAAACTGTGAAACTTAGTTTTGGTAGGAAGTTAAGTTTCCAAGTATGTGAAGAGTAGAACCTTGAAGGGAATGTTTCACTTGACAGATTGTTATTAGTTGACTTTTATTCCTTTCTCAATAATAAATTATATTTTGAAGTGGTATTCACCATGAACTGACAGAGCTTGGATATCTATTCCAATCTCCTAGTATGGGACAACTTCTCAACACTGCGAACTAAAAACCTTCACTAACTGAATCGATGTCTGGTGGACTATATATCCCTACTTCTCTCAGTTCAGGATATAGCGTGGTTATCATCTGATGCCACTGGTGAATATTTGTCTTCTCCACCCTCCCATATTTCTTATAGTGTCTAGTAGACTATGAGTATGGAAACTGTTACAAAATAAAAGAGGGAATATGTCTCAAACAATTTTCGTACAAAAGGAAAATAATGAGAAATGGACTAGAATATGAGTAACTTGTTAACGATTATACCTGATGTTTATATATCCATTTTTAGCGATTACAAGGTTGTGATCATGCGTCTCTTTGTAGCATTGCTCCAGTTTAGTGGAATCACTGCGTAAACAATATTGAAGCTAGGCGAAGGGTATCAGACAAGTTGATTGATGAAGTTATGAACCTTTATCGACTAAGGTGGCTTGGATATGTACTGCTCATGCTGAACCACTGCACCTGTCTATGTGGTATGCTAGGGAAAGGGGGGGGGGTTAAGGTGGCAAACCCGAGACTGATTCATTTTCTAACCATCTGTTCTTTGTATACTACTGTGTAGTGTGGCAAGTTGAGGTAGTTGACTTTGTCAGACAGTTGGTTAGTTGAAGAACCATTATTGAGATCATTATTGTACCATCTACTTCCTACTTTTCCTTTTGGTTTACTATTTCAGGTGTGTACACATATGATCTCTGAAACTTCACCTGATGAAATCTGTTGTCCACCGACACCATTATCTAATATACCGATTACACCAAATACTGGTAAATCAGGTCAGTTCACAGTCTATTCTGATGTAACTGTTGCAAAACAAGACGGGAAATTTATTGTCAGTCCAAAATGGTTGATATCTTGCATGGAAGTCAATAAACGTTTACCAGAAAGTGATTTCTTACCTGTATGTTTAGATGGAAAGGTATCTGTTAACATAACACCTGCAGAACCAAAAGCTAAATTACCTCGAATTGGTAAGTTGTTGATTCATTTTTATGCTATACTCATCTATTGTACATATCAGTTAGACAAGTTCAGTTGATTATGACAACAATTTAACGTTTTGGATTGAATTCAGCTGTGGAGAAATCGGCAGATAATCAATAATATAGAACCAGGCATTCATTGTTTGGGTTTTGCCATTTTACGCCACGTATGGCGCCGCTGTGATATCGGACTGCCTATTAAGGATCGCGTGTACTGCACATCAGTCCGGTCTGTTCTACTGTATGACTGTGAAATATGACCATTGAAGGTGGAAGACATGGAAAGCCGGCTTCATAGTATAGGCTGTATTCCGTGGTGTCACAACAACCACGTGAGTAACACACACGTCAAATGTTGAGTTTTAAGGAGATGAGGTAAATAAGTTGACATGGTTGTGAACCTTGACCGACCGAGATGGCTGGTTGGGACGTGTGTTATGTATGCGTGGTCGTCGTCTGCCTCGTCACATAATGTTGGGTGAAGTAGGTTCAGGCTGGGAAAAGGTGACGCGGGGTGGTCAGACTAAAGCATGGCATCAATGTATGAAGTCTTTGAGACTGTTGGTTTGAGTTATGTGGGACGATGCAGACTGAGTGGTTGGGGTTGGAGGGACAAGAGAAACCAGTGAGTGGTTGGAAACTGACTTAAGGTAATCAAATGGCTCAGAACCAATATCGTTGTCGCAGATGTATCTTTCATACACATTATCGTCATTTTACCGACGCTATACCGAATCTCACCATTTTGTCATTCTTTCTTTCTCTCTTTTAGTATTTTTTATTTTTTTTCACTGAATTTTCTTTTGTTCTTCATGTTCCACTATCACTACCTTGTTTACTTGATGTAGAGTGATATGAAGTGTGACAACTCAAGGCGAATCTGGCAACACTATGAACAACTGATGTCTTGTTGTTTCCCCTACCTTGAATGGTCATAGAGGATGAAGTGCTGAGCAATACAATCGAGAGATCAGTGTTGTTAAGGAATACTGTAGAAGAGGACATGAAAGCGCCTTATTGAACAAGTATGCCATGTAGTCTAGTACATCAACACTTGTAGCAGACTGAGTTGTATCATTCATTCATTATTATTATTATTATTTGTATTATCCAGTTTTTCATATCCGTATACTTTTTGTTTTTCATCATTATCCATTCAGCTTCTGTGAATCTTCTTGGAGATGTAAATCGTCGTCTTGAAATGATGATTGGTGGATGTAGACACAAACCGACTATCATCGATTATTCTCTTCAACCTGAAACTACAGATGTTGTCAAATCAGATATACATCCAGTCGTCAATGATTGTGATAATGATGATAATGACGATAAGGATGATGATGATGATGATGATGACGATATATTGATGATGAAGAATTATTGAATGCTAAAATGTTGTATGACTTTGGTAATGAACAAAAAAATTTAGGCAATAGTGAATTGATGAATTCTCCATTCCCTAATATTCCTATTGGAAAACGACGTCTTAGACGAAATCCACATCGTGATAATCATTCAGGTATACTATACTTAACTAATAATAATAATAATACTTTATATGATTCAGTGTATACAAGCAATAGAAACATGAATAATGATGATGATGATAAACAGGAGAGAATAGTAAATTCAATTGTTACAGATGGTAATATGGATTTGATACAAACTGGTCAAATGATTAAGGTAAGACTAAAAATAATTGATTATATTCCATTGAAATTTCTATTTAATTTATTTACTGAAAAAGAAAAAAGGTGGGAGAACATAATTGGTTAATAAATATGAATAGGCATTGTTCTCCTTTGGTACCTTTACTCTGTGCTAATACGCGGTCGTCAACATGTACTTACCATCTTAGTGGGTTAGGGAAAGCCGTGGCAATGACAATCAATAGTGTGTAGTCCTTTCACATTGAGTAGATATTGGACATTAGATTAAGGTGATATCATATACCCATATCCCTTGCATGACTACACATTGCATAGTCGAAGGCATCGGGATCAACCCAAGAAAATTGCACCTTGACCCATAATAGGGGTCATTGTTTTATTCATACCATTATTGGTAGTCAATTGCCGGGCTGATGTAACACTCCACATGATTTCCACCCTCTCCTCCCCCTTGAACTTGAATATAATTCATCACTACATGATTGATAATACGTGATGATTGAAAATGAAATGAAAATTTGAACCGTGATGGGACTCGAACCAGAGACCAGGGGGTCGTTTTCAATCATCACCTGGTATTAATAGAATTCTGTTAAACCATGGTTATCTAACACAGATAATCAAAATAATAATGAAATGATAATTTGGATGGCGGTGGGATTCGAACCAGCGACCAGCAGGTGACCAACCCGGTACTCTACTATCTGAACTAAGATGCCCGACTGCTGACCAGATTTTCACTTCATTTTAACGATAAACTGGGTTTTTGTCTGACTTTCATGTAAATTTGTAACGCGATATGATTCATAGTTGATGTGAATGCCTTCGACTTTAATGTCTACTGATATTGAGACACACCAACGGGAAATATTATTCATTAATACCTTAGGCCTTACGTTGACGCTTCCTACGAAAATACTATGAACATTATTATTATTTGACTGGTGAAAAGTAAACACCTATTATTTAGTATACACTTTTGTTAGTGTTTTTATATCGTATGTGTTTCAGCTGCACTGTACTCTGGTCTACTATACTCCACTCAACTCTCCCCTTTTCTACTGTACTCTACCCTGTCCTACTTTTCTCTAATCTACTCTACTTCACTTACAGGTTCGATGGAAGTATGAAGATGATGCTCCGCGCCAAATACTTACAAATGATCTTGATGCAGGAACTTACAAAATGAATTATGAAGATAACCAATTGGATAAGAATGGTAGTCAAAATTCTATTAAAATGAATATATCACAAAGGTAAGTTAGTTTTATGCAGATTAATTTAATGTGAAAAAGAAGCGGTTTTTTTTCTGTTCAAGATAAAACACCAGCTATTTAAGTGTCAGTTTATTAGTATTTACCTGATTCACTTACTGAGAAGTTTCACATTTCTAGCTGTAAATACTGCTACTCAATAGTTATTGATGAGTAATTGAAGGTGCCAAAATAGTTGATGCTGATTGTGAATCTGTTCAATAGGAGGAAGATGGTTTTTCACTGAAGTGTTACGTACATCCTCTGACTGAGGAACCTGTAATGAGACGTAACATACCTCCTGTAGTCCACTGTTAGCCATCACCAAGTAGGATTATTTGATCCATTATTCCAGTTACGCGGAATTATGCTGCTGTTCACCCCAAGCAAAATAATAAGCCACATCATCCTGGAGAGACGAAAGGATGCGCTGGATTCAAAACTACGACCGGAACAGCCCGGATTCAGGAAGTACAAATCATGTGCGGAACAAATTGCGACTCCACACTACGCATCATCATAGAACAGAGCATAGAATGGAAGTCAACTCAACTCTACCTCAACTTCATCGACTTTGAAAAGGCCTTCAACAGTGTCGATTGAGAAGCAATTTGGCAGTTGCTTCAACACTACGGAATACCACAAATCTTTGTCAACCTCATTCAACAGCTGTATGACGACGCCACATACCAAGTGATCCACAATGGAAAGCTCAGTGACACCTTTGAAGTGAAGTGAAGACAGCAGTAAGACAAGACAAATTTGCCTACTATCACCGATGATCTTCCTGACTATGGTAGACTAGATGATGCAGCAAACCGTGAGGAGCTGTGAGAAGATGGGCATAAGCTGGATCGATGAAAAGAGCCAAGGAGATTTCAATTTCGCCAACGATGATGATTTATGTCTTATGTCTTGTCGCGCAAACTCGAAGATGTGCAGGCGAAAACTAACAAGTTGACAGAAGAGGCAGGGCAGCGAAGCTGAAGATACCCAACGAACAACAGCATGAACAACAAGAGGCACCAATCACCATTAACGGGAGAAACCTGAAGGAAGTAGTCTCTTTCACCTACCCAGCTACCTAGGCAAGGGAGCATCGTTTCAACTACAGGCGGCACAGGCAGAGACAAGGATGTCAAAGCCAGCCAGGATCGGAAAAGCAAGACAGGCTTTCATTAATGTGAAAACAGTATGGAGATCTACTGCAATCAGCATAAAGCGTGAACAAGATACGGATTTTCAACACCAATTCAGTGAAGTCAGTGCTTCTATGTAGTGGTTGAGACAGTTGGCGTGTCACGAAAAGCATTTCCAACAAACTACACACACTCATCAACAACTACTGCCTACGCTGGCTCGATACTGAAGATCGATGAGATGGCCAGAATAATAAGAATAAGTAAGGAAGAACTCTGGCTGGCTGGCAGGCAAGGAACCAGCCAAGAACCTATCAGCCAACAGAAGGAAGTGGAGATGGATTGGGCATACACTGAGAAGACCATTTGGGGACATGACGTGTCAGGCGAAGTCGTGGAGTGGAACGGGGATGGGAAACGATGAGTTGGGTGTCCCATCTGAGGGCGACATGGAGGAGATGTTGTGAGGAAGAAATGAGAATTTGTGGGCTGTCATGGAGCCAGATTGAAAAGACTGCAGATTGTAGAGTGCAGTGGAGATGTGCTACTGAAGCCCTATGTTCCAATAAGAACCCAAGGGACAAATAGTAATAATATAGAAGAGTTCTTACATGATAGGAACTTCTGGTGGTAAATTGTATTCAGACGTGTTGTATTTAAGGCCTAATTAGGCCAGGGTGATCTCTCGCCTTATACAACCTTTCTTTTTCTCTCTGGAGCCTCTTGAGATGAGGAGAGGAAAGCGGATCTAACATACTTGGTACCTTTGTCTAGACTGTCAATGACATTATGATGTAGAAAAAAAAAAGCTGCTGGATGTAAACTACTCATTCTGAGGTATTTAGACAAAGTAACTTGAACCACTGAAAGCCTCTAAAGGAGGTCGAAACATACAAAACAACAGTTTTCCTCATTGTCTTTAGAAATGGTAAGGTTATTGTGATCGATCAGAATATCACACTTACTCCATAACGTCTAGGACTGTTTTAATTTCCTTCCATTTATAGTGTTGATTAGAAATGTTTATTTGTGAATGATATAGGATATTAGGACTGTTGATGCGATTGAAAGAACCTCTTGCATATACACAAGTACATCATTTCAAGCTGCTACACTTCATAGTGGAGTATACAAAGAAATAGATGGATAGGTTTAAGAAGATATCAAGGAGTGAATATTATCTCGACTGCTGTGACCGATTTTCAGCTATGTCATGATTAGTCAGTCCTCAACCACTGATTCCTATCGTCTTAGAGACCTTAATCGGGCAGTTTACATCTCCTTATACAGCTCAGATTAACCATAAGAGACGTCATTGACTGATGCCATGATTCAAAACATACACACAAAGATATTCAGCAAGGCACCAACATAATATAGATGGGGCAAATTGTCCACAACCATCTGTCCCTCGTACTACCCGTCTAGAGTCATTGTCAATTCATTATGATATAATGAGACTCTTCCCTAGGCATAAATCTTTAACGAAGCACTTCAATACTACAATTACCATTTTAATTTATAGGTCAAACGATATACCACCATCATCATCGTTCAAATCACCAGGAGTACATCAACAACATCAAGTTGTTGGTGGTTATTCAACACTGAAACCAACTTATGTTATCTCCTTCACTGGTCTTCCATCTGATGAACGTGATTATTATGCTGAGATTGTAGAAAGATTAGGCGGAGAGGTTGATAATCAAACTACACTAAGTGAACGAACTACACACTTGATTGTGCATACACCAAGTAAGTGAAAAAGTTTCCTTCTGTTCGTTTGTTTCATAGTAATGGTGCCTAACTGTATAATCATGTTGAAGATTCTTAAAAAGAGCTTGGTATTATTGAATATACACTTCTTTGTTACTGAATTCCAATCGGTACTTCATTATTACTATTATTATTATTATTTGCCCCTTGGGTTCCTAGTGGATCAGAGGACTTCAGTAGTACGTCACTATTTCACTCTCACCTCTCCAGTCTGGCTCAACAACTGCCCATAACCTTTGATTTCTTCGTCACACGATCTCCTCCATGTCACCCTTAGCTAGGGATGCCCAACTCATCATTCCCCATTTGTATTCCATTCGACAGTTTAACCTAGCGCATAATGTCTCCAAACGGTCTTCTCAGTGTATGTCCAGTCCAGTCCAGTCCAATGCAATCCATCTTCACTTTGCTCTTCTGCATATTTGTTGGGTGATAGCTGCTTAGTTGATTAGTTCGTTGCCATGCCAGAGTTGGTTATTGCTTAGTCTTATTATTGTGGCCATCTTATCTTCAGTGTCAGTATGGAGTGAGCGTAGGCGGTAGGTGTTGATGTATGTGTGTAGTTTGTTGGAAATGGTTTTCGCGACACGCCAAGTCTCTCAACCATCACATAGAAGAAGTGAATTGACGTTGGTGTTGAAAATCCAAATGTTGTTCTTTATGGTGAGTGCAGTGCAGTAGATCGCCACACTGATTTCATATTAATGAACGACTCCTTTTCCTTGATCTTTCCGATCCTGGCTTTGACATCGTCATGTGTGTCTGTGCCACCTGTAGTTGAAACGCTACTGCCTAGGTAAGTAGGTAGGTAGATAGGTGAAAGAGACAACTTCGTTTAGGTTTCTCCCGTTGATGGTGACTGGTGCTTGTTGTTGCTGTTGTTTGTTGGGTATCTTCATCACCTGTGTCTTGTCTACGTTCACGTGAAAGAAGTGCCGTCTTCATTGGCCTGCCTCTTCTGTCAAGTTATTGGTTTTTGTCTGTAGATCTACCTCCGAGTTTGTGCGACATAAGACAGTAGACATAAATGATCATAGTTGACGAAATTTAAATCCTCTAGGATATTTTCCTTGATCAAACAGCGAGTGTATGCCCATCTTCTCACATCTCCTTGCAGTTTGTTGCCTGATCGAGTCGAGTGCAATGGAGGACAATGAAGAAGATGACCGGTGATAGTAGGCAACTTTATCTTGTCTTACTCCTATTTTCACTTTACTTGAAAGGCGTCGCTTGAGGTCTGCATTGTGAATGACTTAAGATATGTCAAGTGATTGTGATATAGCATATAGCTGCTGTTAAATGAGGTTGATGAAGGTTTATGGCACTAAAATGGTGATATTGAAGCAGTTGCCAAATGACTTCTTGGTTGACACTATCGCAGGGTATTTCAAAATGGATGAAGTTGATGTGAAGAGTTGACTGGCATTCTATGCTCTGTTCTATAATGATGCACAGCGTCGCGTTACAATTTTATCTGCACATGATTTGTACTTCCTGAATCCAGCCTGTTCCTGTCTTAATTTTGAATGTAGAACAATTTTAGTCTCTCCATGATCATGCGGCTTGGGCAGTTACCTTTCCTTATGAACCATCTGCAACAGTTGTATGAGCATGTCCGCTAATATCTCTGCATCTGTTTTCAGTGCTTCTGGAGTAATTCCATCTTATCCTACTGTTTTCCCGGCTTTCAGTAACTTTATGGCGTTCAGGACTTCACTTCTGCGTTTGTTGGAGGGTTAGTGTTCACTGATAGTTCTGTGGCTGGGCTGCTGGTGGTATTTCTGGACGAGTTGCAGGTGGTGGGGTGGTCGATTCAAGGGTTTTTTGTAGTGGTCAGCCCATCGTTTCCTTTGTTTTTCCTCTTGGATAACTAGGTATCCTTCACTATCTTTCATTGGTTTCATCTGTATTGATATTAATCTGGTTATATAATACATTGTTGTAAGGTCTATCTCTGCTGCCAGAAGTTTGTTCTGCTCCACTCGCCAGTGTGTCGTAGAAGTATCTTTTGTCTTTGCGCGCACTCTTCTTCGCCTCTCTATCCAGTGTAGTGTTATAGGTTGTACTCATTTCCTCTTTTCGTTGTTCATCGCTGCACTGGACTGGTTCATCTTCTGCCTCACCATCTCCCTCTCCCTCCTCGATCAGCTTCTATTTGTCCGTGGCGATCTATTCCTTGTCTTGTTTTCTCTTCCTTCCTAATACGGTTATGCAGGTTTCCTTACACATCTCTTTCAAGGAGTTCCAGTGTTCTTCCAAGCAGGTTTCTTTGGGAATGTTGCCTAATGTCTCCCATTTTGTCCTGATGACTGATGTGAAGATGTCCTTTGTGGTTTTTTCCTTCAGTGCAGTTTTTGTTCTGGGTGTTGAGCTTGAACTGTGGCCTATCACCAGCTTATTTGAAGGCTTTCAACTTGATTTTGAAGGTAGGTTCCTTGCACTAGATTGTGAGTGGTATGAACCTACATCTGCTCCCCTTCTTGATCTGATGTTGTGTCCAGTAGGCTGGCTGCGTCTTCACTTTCTTCACATTGAGATGAAGTCGATCTGGTTTTAGTGCAGTGTATCCTGATGTCTGGTGAAATCGAATTCATATTGCTCACTTTGTGAATATCCTTGTGTTAGCACACCCTGCCTCCAATCACCAAATCATTTAAGACAAGATTTGATTGCTTGATTTTCTATAAGTGAACTCATTTGCCTGTCTGTCACAATGACTTTGATGTTCTAGGATTATTCATTTTCTTCAGTAACTTCTTGAATGCTTAACTAACTCCTCTTTTCCTTAACTTTTTGTCTGCTTGACACCATCTTCGTTTGTTGATAAATTCTCCAATCACACTTAAATGTTGTTAGATGGAGTGATGTTCGAACTCGTGAAGTTATTGGTTGATTGTCGGTTCTTGAACGACAAACCAAATGCTTAAGTTACAGTTAAAATCTAAAACACAAGATTCGTCAGAAACGCGGCTCTGTGAATAATAAATTACAGAACCTCGAATCGTGAGGTTTCTGGGGATTGGTCGGTATCAATTAAATCACAATACACACCGAGAGTGTGTCAGTAATGCTAACTTCATAGCTATGTGCAAAGCAAATCAAAAAGGGAGTATGAAGGACGCGTGTATATCCAAAATACAATAAAGCATCAGGGAATAACGAAACGGATCGCGAAACTATCAGGAACCGGGAAAAGCGAAAAGCATAGCTTGTCGGTGAAGTGAGAATATGATTATACTACTGAATATTAGTAAGTAGTATAAAACTAAAGATGTAAAAAGGGATTTAAGGTCAACATTATACTAAGGGAGAACGCAATCGAAAATGGTAGAAAGCCGAGGAAAGAGAGTGAGAAGGAATGAGACGTCATTGAACTTTAGTTTGACGATTACGATGAAGATAATGTGTGGATATATCTGCACTGCTAAGATCAATTCTGAACTATGGGGACTCTAACCGCAAATTCTACACTCCTCATATACGGTTCAAGCTAACACTCAAATACTTCATGCAATAAGTAAAAAATGACATAAGTTTTTGAAGTATGACTGTTAGTTTCAGCAATGAAAGGAAATGTAGATATCTTGGTTGGAGTCCACGTGGCAGTCGGAACCCGTAATTAATGACTCAACCTTTTCAACTGTTCAATGTATTTTTTTTTATCTTCTTGTAGCTAGAAGTGAAAAATGTCTAATTTGTCTTGCTAGCGGTAAATGGATGTTACACAAATCCTACTTAGATGCATGTTCACGTGAATCTCGTTGGGTTGATGAAATTGCCTATGAATGGGGTGGTCCCGGTACTGAACCTCTTCTAATGCAATTGAGTCCATTTCCACGACCTGGTATTCCATTAACTCATCAACAACAACAAGCTGCTCAAATCAGAGATTTAGCTAGGTCTGCACGTCGTTGGCGATTAGCTGGTGGTAAAGCGTTCAACAATTGGAAAGTTATCTTTGGACCTGGTTGTGATAAAGAAAGTAGCTTTAGACGTGTGATTGAAGCTGGCGGTGGAAAGGTAAGAAATACTCTGTATATTTGTGTTGTTCTCTTGTAGTGTAACCAGTTCTTAGCTGTTAATTTCTATTTCATGTTTAAATATGACTGAAAAATGAAAATTCAGTTGACATCAAGGCTTTCACATGTAGACGTTAGATCTGAATAACTTTTCATTGGAATTCCTCATCTTAACCAATGGGATTGTATTAACTTGGGCTACTGAAATCTAAGCAAATCATAAGTTAATGAGTTTGACTACAATGTGGCCACCAAACAAGATGGTATGCTTTCATGGATGTTAATTGATTGAAAGCAGTCGGCCTGAATACCTCAGTGGTAACTCCACTGATTACAACACTGTGCAAGCTTGGTTGGAATCGTAGAGGAGGCGTCAGTTCCCTGGAGGTTGCAAATATACCTTGCTGATGAGTACCAACAGACATAAAGCCTTGGTTAAACAGGAGGCTTTCCACTGAATGACCCCTACTAAATAATATCATACATTACCATTTTGACTATCTGAGATAGCCGTAGTTTGTCAGACTAGTATTTATACTGGGTGATGATTGAAGGTGAAATGAAAATTTTGACCCCGGCCGGATTCGAACAAGCCCAGCGCCCTCAGCTGAGCTCATTCAATTATACTACTGAATATTAGTAAGTAGTATAGAACTAAAGATTAAAAAAGGAATGCATGGTTAACATCACACTAGGTGGGAAAGAACGGCCCGATGGTCGCTGGTTCAAATCTGACCGCGGTTCAAATCTTCATTTCACCTTGAATCATCACCCGGTGTAAGTATTATATCTATCTGTGATAAACTTATCCAAATTTCTTTTGCTTAAAAGTAGTAGAAATTACGAAACGCGGCTTTTTTAAATCGCCACGTTTTTCAACTGTTATCTGTGTTCAGGTATTCAATTTTCAATAACTAAGTTGAGTGTTCAGCTAACCATCAGTTTGAGAACGCCATGGCGATGAAATTTCCAACCGCATATCGAAAGTCAGAGTGGGATACACCAATCTGGGCGACCCTTAGCGTTGTCACGACGTTAGTCTAACTGTAAAATGGGTTTACAACGCTTCGGTGCGAGCAGTTCTGCTCTGTGCCTCGAAAGCCTATCCTCTCCGAACTGAAGATCTCCGATGACTCTGCGTCTTTGATCATTGTCTCCATTTCACTCTTATCTCTCCAGTCTGGCTCCACAACTGTACATAACCTTTCATTTCTTCGTCACACGATCTCCTCCATGTCACCCTCAGCTGGAACGCCCAGCTCGTCATTCCCCATTTGGATTCCATTCGACAGCCTTACCTAGCGCGTGGTGTCTCCAAACGGTCTTCTCAGTGTATGTCCAGTCCAGTCCAATGCAATCCATCTTCTCTCAACCATCACATAGAAGAAGTGAATTGAGGTTAGTGTTGAAAATCCACCGCTGACAATTGTTATTATTAGTCCCTTAGGTTCCTAATGGAACGTAGGGCTTCAGTAGCACGTCTCCATTCCACTCTCTTCTCTGAAATCTTTTAAACCTGGATCCACGACAGCCCAGAAGCTCTCATTTCCTCCCGCACGATCTCCTCCATGTCATCCTCGGACGTCGAACTCGTCGCTTCCCATGGGGATTCCACTCGAGCAACTGGCCTGACGCGTGATGTCCCAGACGGCCTTCTCAGTGTATGTCCAATCCATCTCCACTTCCTTCCAGTGCATATTTGTTGGTTAACAGGTTCTTGGTTGGTTCGTTCCCAGAGCTCCTTGTTGCTTATTCTTTCTGGCCATCTCCACTGATCTTCAGTAGCGAGACAGCGTAAGCAGTTGTTGATGAATGTCTGTAGTTTATTGGAAATGCCTTTCGTAACGCGCCAAGTCTCTGAACCATACAGAAGCACTGACTTGACGTTGGTGTTGAAAATCCGGATGTTGTTCCACATGCTAAGTGCAGTGCAGAAGATCCACGCACTGGCTTCAGGCTAATGAACGCCTGTCTTGCTTTTCTGATTCTGACTTTGACATCCTCGTCTGTGCCACCTGTAGTTGAAACAGTGCTTCCTAGATAGGTGAAGGAGGTTACTTCCTTTAAGTTTCTCCCGTTGATGGTGATTGGAGTTTGTTGTTGTTGTTGGAGTTGTTGGTGCGGTATCTTCATCACTTCTGTCTTCTCTATATTCACCTGAAGTCCCGTCTTCGCTACCTCTTTTGCCAACTTGTTAGTTTTCGCCTGTAGATCTTCAAGTTTGTGTGATATCAGACACAAGTCATCACTGGCGAAATCCAGATCTTCTAGGTTCTTTTTCGCAGTCCAACGTATCCCCCTCTTCTCACAGCCGCCCACTGTTTGCTGCATGATCCAGTCGATCACAATCAGGAACATCATGGGGGTTAGTAGACAACCTTGTTTCACTCCTGTCTTCACTTCAAAAGCATCACTGAGCTTCCCATTGTGAATTACTCGGCATGTGGTGTCTTCATATAGTTGTTGAATGAGGTGGATAAAGGTTTGCGGTACTCCGTAGTAATGAAGCAGTTTCCAAATTACTTCTCGGTCGACGCTGTCAAAGGCCTTCTCAAAGTCGATAAAGTTGAGATGGAGAGGTGATTGCCATTCTATGCTCTGTTCTATGATGATGCGAAGCGTTGCAATTTGGTCTGCACATGATTTGTACTTCCTGAAGCCTGCTTGTTCTGGTCGTAGTGTTGAATTCAGTGCATCCTTTAGCCTCTCCAGGATGATGCGGCTTAATATTTTACTTGGGGTGGACAGGAGAGTGATTCCTCGCCAGTTCTTGCAAACACTGAGGTCTCCCTTCTTCGGCAGTTTGACAAAGTAACCCCTCTTCCAATCAGTGGGCAGGTACCTTCTCTTCCTTCCACACCTTCTGCAATAGTGGTGGGGTGTGAGCATATCCGCTGTTGTCTCTGCGTCTGTTTTCAGTGCTTCTGGCGGGATGCCATCTAAGCAATAGTGTGTTGTTACTCAAGTTCCAGTTGGATAATACCTGTAAGGGGTTAAATCCACAGAAGCTTGAGATTTTATCTTGTGTACGATTCGAAATCCAATAGTCTACATTTTTCAACTTTTATCAATTTAGGATATACTATCGGTGAGTATTTGCTTCATACATCGAAGCTGGTTGACCTTACTGGTCCCAACTTTGGAAAGTACGTCATACTAGCAAACATCTGATCACTAATCAACTCATGTGGAGTTGGCTAGTTTCAAATGGGTTTTAATTATTGAAAACCTATGAGGCCTATACTATTTTATCCCACTTTGGATTACACTAAGCAAACACAAGTGGGTTGGTGTATATTCCGATAGAATAAAACTGTCCAAGTAATGACTGAAAACTAAAACGAGTGAAATTGGTTGTCTAACCTAGAGCTCATCTGCTGGATACGATACTTATAATTACCCTTTGCCATATAGGGCTGAATTGTCCAACCTCTGTTAGCAGACAGGTTTCCATGGGTGAATACCTTGATACGGCTTTGCTATTCATGATGTTGTATTCTTGGTTGTCTGGTGTTTGTTTAGATCACTCCAGATTATGATAAATGAATATCATGGAACAAGACACAAAGATAGATAATTGATTAGGGACCCAGTTCGAACCAAACCCCACCTATTTTCGATTTTGATACTCGACCCTCGTACACAATCGGCTACCTTTCATGTCTAATGTATTACTTCAAGAAAACAAAATGATCTTCTGAATGTGTCCAGCTGATGAAACCCAACTAGTTGCGAAACCACTGTACACTTTGTTGCTTGTTTTATCTTTCAGTAAACTAATAATTTCGAATTGTTGCCTCTTTTTCCTCTACCACCACCACCACCACCATCATCATCACCGCTGCTTCTCCTAGGTATTAGCAAATAGTCCACCATTTCCTTCTGTTAATGAAGTAACTCATGCATTCTTCAATCACGTGGCAATTCACTATCATCCAATTTACCTCATGATTATTCTTGGCTACGTATTGATTATCTTTGTGCTTATCTTAGTGCTGGACAAGAGATTTGTAAGGCGGACTACTTACTTTAAGTAAGTTGGTCTTCTTCTTTCTTTTGTGTATATGTGTGTGTATGTAAATATGTTTTAACTTGATGTGTTTATGTGTATGTTTGTTCCCTTATTTCAGAGTATATTTTTGTTGCTTTGACCAATTGTACTTATTTATTTCCTCTTACAATATTATCTACTGACCAATGACTCTAGGAAAAGTCACACTGGATGGATTTTTTCATTGAAATATATTCCAATCGTTGAATGAATGAATGAAACTCCTTGATGTATAATATACAGTGTACTTCCATATATGTGCGGGAGTGGGACCTTACCAGCATATCTTTGCATTTGTATCAGATACCTTCGTTATTTATTTGTTTATTCATTCTCTCTAATGGTTATTGGGCTTAGTTTATAGTATTACTGCTGTTTTATGAGTAAGAATTTGTTTAGAACAGTTTGTTTTTTCAGGTCCTTTCAAGATTCATTTTTGACTTCAATCGACATGATAAGAAACTCATGGACTGCATAATCCAGTAGGAGAAGTTCATAGTCCTTTGTGAATACTAATGCAATCACTTTGTCTCCGTTAAATGTAAGATACACACTTATAAGCCTCCAAAATCTGTCTGCATATCAAAATCATGGCTAAATTAATGGACCGCCCATCACTGTAGTCTATTGGTAGATGAGCTGGAACACCGCGTTTTGTACCCGAAGATTGAGAAGAGGAGGTTATGATCAATGAACAAGGTGAATATCCGTCCATACACCATCTTATGAAAGTGGAAACTAAGATAAGTCCTTCCTTCTCTACCTATGAGTAGTGTTTTTCCGCTGAAGTAAGAAATCAAGATTCATGCATGACAGATTTTTGTGAATCAACAGGATATTCGAGCAACAGGACAGCACCCTAACCAGTGGTGGAGGCATCTGAGGCAATGATGATTGATAGATATGGGTTGTAATGTGTCAACAAGAGGTCAGAGCTGAGAGTGGACTTGAGTCGTTCTACAGCAGTGTCACATTCTCTTGACCAAAACCATGGAGCATCTTTGCTTAAGGGTCGATTCAACGGTTCTCCTATATCGTGTAGAGATGGCAGAAACACCGAATATTAAGTGATAGAATCAAGGAACGATTAGAGAGTCATGACATCTCTACTGTATAGCGCGAATGTTTCCAGGGTCGGGACGTCAACTAGATGCGTCAAAGATGAAACGTAAATATTTTATGGACTTTGAAAAGAATTGACATTTCCCCTTTCTGAGTCGAAGGCCGTTGTCTAAGATACGCTGTAGGACGAACCGTATTCGATTCGTTAATTTCGCTGAACAGGTGGCAACTATTGTGACGTCGCCGAGGTATACAACAACACCTCGTATACCTGCTGGCATAGTATCCGTGATCTGTTGGAAAATAGGGATGGGGGGTAGTTTTAATGCCGATTGGTAGACGATTTTACTGAAAAACACCTCAATGTATGTTGATGGTTAGGAGTCCACCAGATTCTAGAGAGAGTTCGACTAGATCGATTGTCGCGAAATATTTTCATGCATTCAGTGTGGTAAATGAATTATCCGGAACAAGCATAGGGTGATGATATTGCTTCAAAGCAAAATATAAACCTTTCAAGGGTCAGCACATAACTGAACGGAGCCTAGAGGTTTCTTTATAACGACGACTGGGGTAATTGACCCATCACTTGAATTTTACCATCGCATGTTCTGACAACTGCTTGTATCATTTCTAACCGATCATGACCACATCATAATTCCCGGGAAGTTACTGTACTATCAGATACAGTATCAGCTTGAAGGCATCCAAGTTGACCATTTATACTGAGCAGTATATACTTCAGCTAGACTAGGCTACTGATATGAAAAGTAGCCGTGATTTTAAGGGATCTTGTCGCAGGTCGACATCAAGATAAACTTCTTTTTCTTGGTTGACGGGAAAGCCGATCCTTGTGCTCCATTATATAAAAGTTGCAACACTTGTGTTATTGAAAGAGGCACGACTTCACATAATGCCATGCAGATGATGGTTTTCGCTGATTACTATTTGTAAGGGGGCGTGCTACATTGCCTGATGTAGCAATGAGTGTGAATACTGGGGTTCTGCCTGCCCATCTGTATCAGGGTGATATCTTGACATTTATTAATTAGTCGCTGATATTCCTCACCAATATCCTTCAACATCGGCTTTGCTACTTGTTCCAGACGATTCAGCAGGTGAATGCGTATATCCGTAAATTTTGGAGATTGAAGAGTACAAATGAATATGAGTACTTTGAAGTTGTTCATCTGTTAATAACTTCAACTTGAATCGTTCACATGCTCTATTCACAATCTTAAACTGGATATGGATGTAATCAGCTTCACTTAGTTAGTACCCAGCTCCATAAAATGATAGCTAGCATTGAAAAGTGAGCGATATATTATCCAAACTGCTGACGAAATGTTTCCATTATTTGCGGAAATGTTCTGTCGTGTGAGTTCTGTGAAAGGATAAGATTAAATTATTTATTCAATTCATCTGGACCAAACTTTCAGAATATAAATTTAACTCGTCATATGTGTCGTGTTGATTTACTCATAACCAGGTATCAAAAGTCACCTTGGCAACCAAATTGTAGACAAACTTCGAAATACTAAAACCAAATTAGATCATCAGAAAAAGATTATCTAGATGAAATAACACACAGACTAGCAAGCAATCTTACCATCTTCAATTACAATTCCATCAATTTTAGTAATACGTCTCCACCTATTTATAACGCCAGAGCCTCAACTGAAACTGGGTACGAATAAAGAAGAAAATTGAACAAGATGAGAGAGTGAATAAGTTAAGGAATAACAATCCCTTAGGGCAAAATCGCATATCCCTGCAAACAATTCAGTTGGAAATTTCTCCAGAAATAAAGACATCAAAAACGTAAACGAAAACCCAGGGAATCATTCGAAAAAACTGGAAACAAAAACGAAAGTAGTATTACATAAGACAAAAAGAGAACAAAATAATAGAAAAGCCAAATCCAAAAAGATAAACATCAAACCTTAACAAGTGAAGAAAAGCGTATTACAAACAACAAGTCAATTAAAACCACCGCATTCATCAACAAACAAATATAAACAAAAAACGCATTGCGTATTCAAAAAAAGGCTAGATAAAAAAAGCAGTACCTCAAAAAGCATACACAAACCGCATCACTTCAATTCGATTGCTTGCGCCTCCTCCTCCCCCACCGACACCGCCACCACCACCACCACATGCTGACACCTCTTACTCTGGCCATCTTCGACTGAATGTTCGCCTTCCCGTCTGTTGGCGGTCACCACTGTCTGTCCACCGCTTGTCCGAGTCATTGGATCTCCGTGCCAGCAGATGGACATGACAATGTCCCGCCTGCATGACAGGCATTCTGACGATATTGTGTCAACGGATGTAGCTTGTTTCACATGTAGATGATGTCAGGTGGATTCATTCAGATGTCAGTGAGCGCCCATAGCACGCGAATGTGAGCATGTGTGTGAGTGTGCGTGGACGGTTTGGTGTGACCGTGCGACTGTGTTTGCGTGATTGTTTGTTTTATGTGGTTCGATTGAGGATGGTTCGTGTTTGTTTGGTTGATTGAGTTGAGTTGACTTGACTTGACTTGGTTTAGCTGGACTCGGTGGTCTAGATGCTCAGTGGATTGGTTGTATTTCACTAGGCCAGCTTTGTGATGTGGAGAATGATGGTTGTAGTAGGAAGGCGGTGGTGGTAGGTGTAGGTGTAGGTGTAGATGGAGGAGAAGGAGGAATTGTCGTCGCAGTCACTGGCATGTGGACGACGTTGTCCACATCGAGACTGTCGGTTTGCGGGGTTAGGTGGAACGGACTGATCACCTGTGACGGCGGTTGATGCGAAGACAGCGTCTCCGATGACTACACTGTGCATCGCTCACGATTTGTGTGTGTGTGTGTGTGTGTGTCGACGAGTTGACGTGATTGTGCATGCATGGACCAGCTGGTCAGTGGATATTGCAGGTTGACATGGCGTCCGACGGTGTTGTGTTGTCGTTTGGTGTGTGCGAGTGCTTGTTTGTTTGTCTGTGTGTCACATACATGTGTGTATGCGCAGGTGGATTTGACGAATCGATGTGACAGGGTGGTGTGGCAGGTCAAACGCTTGCCCCCAGAGAGAATTGAACTCTCGACCCCTGGTTTACTAGACCAGTGCTCTAACCACTGAGCTATGGGGGCTGTTTCGCGCGCCTCCACATTCACCATCCCCTTCAACATCACACTCGAGAACAAAAACAGTCAATCAACAAGTACACACAACCCGTCATCACTTCAATTCAATTGCTTGCGCCTCATCCTCCCCCACCGACACAGCCACCGCCACCACCACCACCACATGCTGACACCTCTTACTCTGGCCATCTTCGACTGAATGTTCGCCTTCCCGTCTGTTGGCGGTCACCACTGTCTGTCCACCGCTTGTCCGAGTCATTGGATCTCCGTGCCAGCAGATGGACATGACAATGTCCCGCCTGCATGACAGGCATTCTGACGATATTGTGTCAACGGATGTAGCTTGTTTCACATGTAGATGATGTCAGGTGGATTCATTCAGATGTCAGTGAGCGCCCATAGCACGCGAATGTGAGCATGTGTGTGAGTGTGCGTGGACGGTTTGGTGTGACCGTGCGACTGTGTTTGCGTGATTGTTTGTTTTATGTGGTTCGATTGAGGATGGTTCGTGTTTGTTTGGTTGACTTGAGTTGAGTTGAGTTGACTTGACTTGGTTTAGCTGGACTCGGTGGTCTAGATGCTCAGTGGATTGGTTGTATTTCACTAGGCCAGCTTTGTGATGTGGAGAATGATGGTTGTAGTAGGAAGGCGGTGGTGTAGGTGTAGGTGTAGGTGTAGATGGAGGAGAAGGAGGAATTGTCGTCGCAGTCACTGGCATGTGGACGACGTTGTCCACATCGAGACTGTCGGTTTGCGGGGTTAGGTGGAACGGACTGATCACCTGTGACGGCGGTTGATG